GCAGTTACATTGTAAATTCTTGTAATGGTAAACAGTATAAATTCTCTTGCAAACAAACAAAAAATACACTCATCAGTCCAAAATTTTAAGGAGTGTTCATTTCTTCTGGATCTTTTGCGCATACCCAAACTAGTCGTTCGATAAAAAAAACAGCAACATGTAACTTTGCGAAAGTCTTTCGACTTAATTACGGATTGTTAATTTTGATTCATATCAAAGAAAACAAATATTTAAGAATATGAGAATAAAAGAAATGCTCTCTAGTCTGTTTTGGAATTTTTTTTTTCAAAGCATAAAATGAAAAAAAAGTGTGTGTATTCAATCAGTTTTTAAATTCAATTAAGAAAAAAAAATTGACTAAGTTAATTTTGATTGAACAATTTGGCAGGCATCACAATGTTTCGCATTGTACTGCAGCAGAGTGCAATATGGTGCACTTCTACTTGTATTTAAACAAGCACAATTATTTTACTTGTCAATGTATTAGAAATATTCCCCCACCATCCTCCCTCCAAAGACAGCTTTTATATACAATTTGTCCTTGTGATTGAATGTTTATTTGGAAATTTGCATAATGTAAGTTTTGTTTCAAAGATCGATAACTCAAATTGTGTCCCTTTGAACAACGTTGACAAAACGATCATTGATTTCTGCGTTATATTATGTAAATGTTTAAGCAATGCTAACGAGTAACAGGCTTGTATACTATATATAAGACGTTAGAGAGATAATCAGAATCGACCATGTGTTAAAGTCAGAGTAAATAACGGTAAGGACTTGGTGTGAGCGTTTTCACTAATAAAACAAGTTCTGCTAAGCAGTACTGAAAATCGTCTTTGATTGTTCTACAAAGTCCTTCGGCGCTTTATTTGATTGAGTCTCAAAATATTCACTCATCAGTCAAACACGAAAGTTCATATTTTTTCACTGTTTTGCGTACCCGAAGAAGTGCAAAACAACAGGTCGCCCACGTTATGCAGTGTTTAGAGCGTTTGCTCTTGAATTGCGGATTTAGGAGTTGATCCTTAGGTCGACAGTTTGAATTCCACCGTGGGACGTGGAGACAGTCCTTCTGATGAGACTGTTTAAACGTATGTCCCGTGTTTCAGTAGATGCTGACACGAAAAAAATCCCTCACAGCTCAAAAGCCCTGACTGCCGAGTACATGTATAGAATTTGTAGCCCTTCACCAGCAAGTATAGTTGGATAATTCTCGAAAGGAATGTTAAACAAACAAACAAACAAATCGGCAAAAAAGAAACGTAGCTTCATTTGAAAGTCTTTAATTTGTAATTATTATCAATCTTAATTCGGATTTATAGTTAGAGAACAATCTTATTAAATTTTATCTAGTAATTATAAACAAAAGTAATCCATATAGTCTGTTTTTATGAGTACATTGAATTAGAAAAAGTGTAAATTTTAATCAATATTTAGGTTTATTCCCCCCCCCTTTCCCTTTTTGATACAAAAAGACGTTATGTTGATATTATTTAAGAGAGTGAATTGAGTTAATGAACAAAATATGTATGTATGACACATATGCTAAAGAGTATGGATGATCTCTTAATGATGATTCTCAAAAGCTTGCTAAGGGCTTTGTTTCCCCAAACTCCAAAACAGCACTCCGTTTTTAAATTTGTATGTCCGTGATGTCTTTTAAACGTCTTCCACTTTTTCCAGAGAGTAAACAAACAAACAAACAAAATGTCAATTTTTCGAGCACTAAAAATAGACGGATGATTGATTTTACAAAAAATACTTTTTTTCCCAAGCATTCGGAAAGATCAAACAGTCAAATTTGCATTTGAAAGTAAGAAAATATAACAAAATAGCAAATGTATTTGTGGAAAAATTGTTCTTCTATTTTTTTTTTTCAGTATTTTGAGACAAAACAGTCCTGGCCATTTACAATGCCCAGTACAATAAATCACTGTGTATAAATGCAGGATTGTCAAAACCTGAGAGATATGGTGATTGAATAATACTCACATAGGCCAATATTCATGAAGAAATTAATTAAAGTAAGTAAAAACGATTAACTTCATCCCTTGGTGGGTGCCCCCCCCCCTCCCCCGCTTTAACCCTCACAATATGTGGGTTTAAATAATACATCATAGTGTTCAAAACTTTAGAACCTAATTCTCTCCTAGGAAGACGATATCGATGCTACCGGGCATTGAAATGCAATAAAGTTCAGTTAACTAAAAATATTGCTTCCCCATTTATTCTGAGTTCCAACATATTAAGAAAGACAAGTTGACTCAATCTGTCTGGGAGTTATCTTTCCTACGGTACAAAGTGTCGGTTTTTGTTTTTTGTTTTGAGCTACCAGTTTTTCAGTTTCAGTTTATTCATCAAACCATAAAGTGTATCAAATTTAAAAAATTACAATATCTACATATACGAACTTGATAAAGATATACATAGTGTATCATTCAAGCACATAAAGCATTATTTTAAGGTTTGGTTAAGAAATTTCCCTTAGTTACACAGTTCCTGAACATTCCTGAACAATGCGAGGTAAATTTATGAATTCTAAACATTCACGATGTGTCATTATACATGTACCAATTTTTGAATACAAGTAACTTAAAATTACAATTGACCTTAAAGACAATATCCAATTAAAAAAAGAAATAATTATGAAACTGTGATGTTTTTAAAAGAATAATACGCTGTGTAAAGCCATTTACTCGAGGATGACCCATTAAAGCCATAGTAGGCTTAGTTTCTATGGGGTCCTCATAAATAGTAGTTTAGCACTAGAGATTTCATATTAATTAATAAAATTAAATTAGAATAATTAATCAAATAAGACAAGATATGTTTATAAAAACTAGTTGTATAAAAACTCATTTTCAGACATTTGTCATGTAAATTTTGAATTTACCGGGTGGCAGTAAATACAAAATTTACATCATGACAGCTAGATTTGTTTTCGATGGATTTTATCTTATCTGGAAGTGAGTTCCATTCATTCGAGAATTATACAGGAGCTATAATGAATTATATTGGTAAATATTAATAATGGTACGAGTTGGCTGCACAATTTCACGACCTTTCGAGTGCATTTGTACAACCACCGAGTGCTAATATTCACCAATAAAGGGCTAAGTTCCACATAACTCCTTTATTATAACACATAACTCCTTTATTATAAAGCTAAAATATTTTTCCGATTAATTGATATTATTTCTTTATATGAAATAACTCAAAATTAATGAGAATTATTCGATTTTGGTTTTTAAAGACACAGCGTCTGTCTGGAAGTGTTCAATATTTTACATCTTTTCAATGACATTACCGAGCATTAAGATTTGCTGATTAAGGTCTTTATTGAGGCTTATAGGCACTGAATTAACGGTTAGAAATTTCAATTTAGTAAAGAAATAGACAAAACTTACATGTACCTTGCTATTATGCCACTACCCATCATAAAGCTGTTGAACAGACGACATTTTTTTGTTTACAACGGGGCGTTCGATAATGAACGCTCGCATTCGGAATGTTTCGGGACATATAAACGCCAACATTCTTTTGAATTTTAACATTTTTTTTTATAATCGACAATTTATTAGCTATGTAATAAATTAAAATATTATTAATTTTGTTCGCTATTGCTCTTTAAATACAACTAATCCCAAGAATTTGAATTCTTCCTTATTTTAAAATCCAAGTATATCATTAACTGAAAACATCTCCTCACAGCGAGCTTTTAGAGCACAATTATCAGTTACCATTTAAAATTTCTTAAATTAATTTTAAAAGAAAGAGACCGCTTCTTAATTAACAATAAATTAAACTAGTTGCTGCCTTTGGCCCCAAGCCTAATATTTTCCTGAAAAATTAGCATGCAATTTTTCTATATCTTCAGCTGTATGCTTTATGTGACCACTTGGATTCAACCTAAGTAATTGTCTTTTTATATAGTATTTCATGTCTATAATAAGCGGATTTCCCAAAATATATTAAAAATAAAACATATGATTAAAATCATTTGTTTGTTAAAAGTCCGTTTGTGGCACAGTGTGTAGTAAATGGAGTTAAACAGTGAGTTGATTTTAATCTTGATTATAAAATAATTTAAAAAGGCGTCCTTTTTTGTAGTAAAAGTAAAATTCCAGAATGCTCTATCAAATGATGACAAACCAGGACCGTAGCATCGTTTTTAAAAGGTGGCCTAAAAAAAACAAAACAAAAAACTGCTTCTACTCGTCTACTCGAAAATCCTATTCCGTGTGTGGATGTAGGTGAGGGGTTTTTTTTTGGAGCGGGGGGGGGGAGTCTTTCTCAAACTTTTTGTATTTTTTTTTTCAGTGAAATCTGCATGACATCTTAGAACTTCCTAAGCCGTTATACATTCTGCAGAGTGTGTACGGGGCGGATCTATATAATAAGTCTGAATTTTCTTAGATCGAAGACATCAGTTTTAATTATTGAGGGGCATCCCGTGCCCCCCTCCCTATATATATATATATATATATATATATATATATATATATATATATATATATATATATATATATATATATATATATATATATATATATATATATATATAACAAGAATCTATAGAATGCATTCCCCTCACACACATTCAAAGATGATAGCAGCAAAGGTTCATGTAGACTAAATGTCCTTGATTGATAGCTGAGGTCGTAATCACCGACGATGTGTTTTGCTTACTTATATTTATCCCTGTAAAAGATGTTCTGAGCTGTTTAATAAACGTCTCGTGTACTCTTTAATGATTTTCAATTAGCATTCATTTTGTAAAGCTCCGAGCGCACGGTGTGTGAACATCACAATAAACAAATTACTCCCATTACAAAAATGGCTATATTTCAATTTAAATTGAATGGAGAGGAAATTAGAGAACTTTAGGGGAAGCAAAGGAATTTAAATAGATATAATGTTATCTTTTTAAAGATCTGACTCCCCCCTTCAATGTCAGAGATGACGTGACTGAATGTTTATTCCTTAACGATCCTTTTTTTCACTCACTCCTGCCTGTAAACAGTGCAGAATTATGCATGCATGGTAGTAATTCAACGTGATCATGGATTTAACAAGAAAAATAAGGTGGCTGGCCGTGTTCATCAAATAAGATTACAGTCGTCTGCTTCAATCAATACTTTGTGTAGTCTGCAGTAGTAAGCAGATAAAATAGAGTCATGGTCCACAAAGGCGGAAACGATTCTTAACTAATGTTTACCACCCAAACCTGAAATATCATATTTATATGTGAAATATTACCTTCTTTGGAGATAGAAAACAGATGAGGGGTCTTGGATGTCTTTTACACCATTTATAAAGGTAACATTCACTGCACCGTCATTGTGCACCGTCCATTATAGACTTAGTATACATGCAGGTAATCATTGAAACAAGGCAAGTGTTTTGTCATTCTCATCTCGTATATAGATATTGTTTGTCTTTATATTTGATTTAATTTTGTATAAAATAGTTACAGGGGTTTCATATTTCCAATTAAGCTTAAATCTCGATCAATATTGTAGGGAAATTCAAATTACGTGTACCTGTACTGTACAGGTACACGTTTCTACTACTGAATAGCTTATACAGTACATATTTTATGGTATTAAGCAGGTGATAAGTACATGTATATTGTCATATAACCCCCTTAATTCTTTATACACCTTAAGAAGCAAACAATGGCAAGGAGTTCCGAAGGAATAGTACATGAATATTATATATATATATATATATATATATATATATATATATATATATATATATATATATATATATATATATATATGCCTAAATGCTACAGCAGGGAATAATAATTTTTTACCTGTCCCTGTAATTTTATATTACTGATTAAAACCCTCAAAATTTTTAATACCTCTTTTTACACCTGAAGAGGCAAACAATGTAAAGAAATTGTGCAACACGTGCAGTACCTGTAAATCGTGATGTCAGGTATTGGACACACCTGTGCATGTTTAATTCTTTCAGACGTACCCACAATGAAACAGTCTGCAATCCAGAAAAAAAGTACGTAGGGCAAGAACATATCAAAAGACCTCAGGTAGCAAACCTCTAGATCAGGTTGTTAAAGTTTCACATAAATCGGTGACATAATCTCATCACCAAGAATTTTCATTTGCATTAAATTTTATTGCTCAATTCTTATCCCTCTGCAATTGTGCTCTACACTTTTTTCCACCGATAATTATCGTGAATCCAAGGAGTTTCAATACGAGATTTTAAATTTCAGCGAATGAATCATAAAAAGTAAGTTTTTAGTGAGCTTATGTAACATGAATAATCCTTTGAGATCCCATGACATTTTTGTCTGGCTATTTTATCTCTATATAAAATACTGAATATATACTTTAGTGGGCTATAGTTTTAAAAAGAACCAAGTCATACATCCTGAGCACTTTGTAATTCCTTACATTGAGAATCATAGCACATATAAGAAGTTGGTTTACTTGATTTTGCAAATTGATTTATTACTTCACAGGTAAATTTTTATATTCTAGACTATTAAATCTGTCCATATACAGAATTTAGGGGTACTCTAAATAACTTTGACCTAGCTCCTCCTCCTCCTCCTTCCAGAAAAATCTATATAACCGGATAATCAGACATTATTAAAGATGGGACACACTCAAAAAGTAGCTATGTTTTCTATAGTATATTAATTATATATCGGCAGAATTATTGTGCCCCCACCTTAGTTCCTACGGAATTTTGTAGATAGCAGTAAAAACAAAAAACTACATATAAATATCATATTGTAAATTTTGTATTTAATGCCAAGTGGTAAATTCAGCATTCATTTTATTCTGCATATTTATCAAAATTCTCACTTTTCACATGATCTACAGAGTATTTCTTGATCATGTTTAAATTTTATTATTAATAAAAGAAATGTCTATTGATCGGTAGAATTTTAATTTGGAAGACGTAATCGATCACGTAAGCTTTTTAAAAATGCATCAAGGTAAAAAAAAAAAGTCTGCATTTAATCATACGTTTGACTTAACGTTTTCTGTGTTCAGCTGTATAGGTGTATACATGTACAAACATCGTCTCTTCCAGGCAGGTGCTCGGATGAAATCATTATACTATGGAGATGTATAACGCAGAAAGCTACAGAAACCGAGATATTCTAGAAGTTGTCATTCAACAAAAAGAAGAGAAAAAAATTAAAGACAATGAAGAGAAACAAAAGGAACAAGTTTTGCACATGCGCCGAACACCGGAAATTGTCAGCAGACCATCAAGTCGAATGTCTTCCAAACAAACTTCTGTACAGACAGAACAAAAACCAAAAGAAAGTAATGTTATAAAAAGGTCTGAATACATTGCTCAAAACAATGTTTCACAAACTATTCAGAGCCTGGCGATTTTGTGTTTAGCTTCCTCTGTTGTTTTAATTTTGGATATTTATGTGTTTCTTGTGGGTACCGGTGATCCTCCTGAGGGAGGATTTAGGAACGGAAGTTTACTGACGTCATTGAAACAGTATGAGGATGTGACGGAAGTATTCACTGCTTTCTCAACTCTTGTGATGATTTTGTCAGCGAACTGTGTGTTGGTGTGTTCTATGCAATGTTTTATAGCTTCAAAAGTCATCAAGACTGTCGACGGCCCAGAAAGGTAAGTGCATTAAATTTTTGCATTAACGTGTTCGAAAAGTTCTCGAGAAACCACCCATATATTCTTGATTTTTAAATATCTGACTATATATTCCAGGGCTATGAAATACTTCCGTGAATGTTCCAGCAGCAGACTGGTTGCAGTAGTTGGCTTTTTCATATCATTTCCAGTTTTTCTGTTAAGTACGTATGCCAATATAATATTATATATTAATCGAAACTTCTCGTCAGCCACTCGATTAAGATAATGTATATGAAAATTAAGACATTTTTTTAAAAAATAATTTTGGTCATTCAACACCATTAATATTGAAATCGCTTTTAAGTCTTTGAAAACATAAAATGTAAGTTGTTCTTAAGCTATATATCCAGTATAATTTAAGAAACTAAGCGCCAAGAATACTAGCATATCTACAAGACTACGCTGACACATGTATAATTAAAATGGCCAAGAAATGCTTGACCAGTGTATCTTCTATCTGAAGCATTTTTAATACATCTTTTTTTTCAGCTTTAATGTTGTGTGTGGTGTTACGTTTAAAAAGGACGTCAGCTTTAACTGCTGTTGTGGTACTCATCATAGGAACAATGTTAGGTTTACTGTGTATGGTACAAAACATTTACCACTGGTACGACGAGATGTCAAGTGCTTCGAGGGGACTTCCGGCGTACAAAGATAGTAACAAAGACGATGACGAAAACAGAGATCTCAATACTCTAGTGTAGTTAGGACGATTCTTACTAGATTAGTTTGGAAATACTTTCAAATTTCGTTATCGGGAACTTGATGGAACCGAAATTTCCGAGGATTCGAGATGCCAAGGCTATAATGTAAAATTCACTTCGATATATCCGTAGTATTCGAGATATCGATGTTGAAGACACAAAAGTTCAACTGTATTGTGAGGATTGAATCTGAAACATATCGAAAGTGATTAACAAGGTGCTACTGCTTTCGATCATTGGAAACTCGGGGATTGATTTTGGATATGATGCATGTTGAAAATCAAGTGATTGTTGTTGGAGATGCAGATATTCATTCTACTGATTGATATTTCAGGAAATTATAAATATATATTCTATTTTATATCCGGTGCCATCATGTTTTATAAATTAGTCCTACTTTGTGATTTTTATCCAAAATTCGTTTTGAAAGAGTGAAAACAATTTATGGATGGCAATTACAGAGAGCAGGTGGATTTTAGTTATAAAAGAATGTGTGTTTTTATGTCATTTATAAGTTGCAGTTTTCATAATGTATGTGATTTATGAATTGCTTTGCATTGACTCTGTATTAGTTTACACAAGACTTGCAGCCCACACTGATTTTAGATATTTTTATGATGTATTTATATAATTTTTTAATGAACTAGATTCAAATTCTAGGTATCATGCAGGGCAAAGAATTGAAGATTTTTGTCACAAAGCCGACTTATTTTTTCTCCACCAAAAATCCCCCAAAAAAGAAACAAAAATTGGGTTACTTTAACGTACAGACAATAACTACCATTACAAAGTACCAATGGTGTGTTTTCTAAGTCTTTTTATTGTCTTTATTGCTTTGGAGGGAAAATGCGTGTTTAGAGTAAAAATCTTGTGTTTGAAGTTACTGATCTTGCAAAACTTTTACGCTTGGTTCAGAAAGCTAAACCAATCTACATGTACCAAAACAGTCCATACTAGTCAAATGAATATTCTTTACCCCTAGAAGACAAAAGAACAAAAACCAATATATATATATATATATATATATATATATATATATATATATATATATATATATATATATATATATATATATATATATAATCCCAGTTTTTAAACCAGTAAGAGTCTTCACAGCGGACATGTATCACTTATCTTTAAACAAGAGGCCCATGGGCCATAACGCTCACCTGAGTAACTTTGGCCTTGCTGTTTTTCACCTGATCCCCCCCCCCCCTTTTGTAGTACTTATTGTGGCCCTGCCCTACCCCGGGGGTCATGATTTGAACAGTTAGAATCTACACTACCCCAGAATGCTTCCACATAAGTTTCAGCTTTTCTGGCCCAGTGGTTCTAGGGAAGAAGATTTTTACTACATATTTCAATGTAAAACTTGGATTTCCTATTGTGGCCCCGCCCTACCCCGGGGGTCATGATTTGAACAGTTAGAATCTACACTACCCCAGAATGCTTCCACATAAGTTTCAGCTTTTCTGGCCCAGTGGTTCTAGGGAAGAAGATTTTTACTACATACTTCAATGTAAAACTTGGATTTCCTATTGTGGCCCCGCCCTATCCCCGGGGGTCATGATTTGAATAACTTAGAATCTACACTACCCCAGAATGCTTCCACCTAAGTTTCAGCTTTTCTGGCCCAGTGGTTCCTGAGAAGTTGTTTAAAGATTTTTACTATATAATTTATTTCAATGTAAAACTTGGATTCCCTGTTGTGGCCCCGCCCTACCCCCGGGGGTCATGATTTGAACAATTTAGACTACAATCTACACTACCCTAAAATGCTTCCATATAGGTTTCAGCTATTCTGGCCCAGTGGTTCTTGAGAAGATTTTTAAAGATTTTTATTACATACTTCAATGTGAAACTTGGATTCCCTATTGTGGCCCCGCCCTACCCCGGGGGTCATGATTTGAACAATTTAGAATCTACACTACCCAAGGATGCCTCGACATAAGTTTCAGCTTTTCTGGCCCAGTGGTTCTCGAGAAGACTTTTTAATGACCCCACCCAAATTTTGTCTTTTCTTGATTATCTCCCCTTTGAAGGAGGCTTGGCCCTTCATTTTAACAATTTAAACTTCCCTTTACCCAAAGATGCTTTGTACCAAGTTTGGTTAAAATTGGCCCAGTGGTTCTTGAGAAGAAGTTGAAAATGTGAAACATTTACAAACAGACGGACGACGGACAACGGGTGATCAGAAAAGTTCACTTGAGCTTTCGGCTCAGGTGAGCTAAAAAGGAAAGGAACCGCAAAGCGTAGCATCCCTTCGCTTAAGAGCACCTCGATCCCGATGTAAATTTTTACTTCCGTTACGCACACACTCGGAAGCTTGTAACAATGTCTCCTCCAACTTCGTTGGAAGGAAATAAAAACTAAAAACTTTAGTGTGACTGACTAAATCAGGGTCGCGTTATATTTTTAACAGATCTTCTATAAGAAAAATACGGTTATTGAAATGGTGAAAAGGACCGTCGGTCGGTCGGCTGCCGAAAGGTTACATCCTTTGTCCGGATATATGTAACTCTCCCTACAGTTTTCAAGATTAGAACTTTTTTATTTCTTAGATCAATTGTACATATATCAGAAATGTACACAGTACTTGGATTTTGATTTTTGAAAATTTATATAAACTACTTAGTCATTTTAATGCAGAATATGTTCATAGGGTACATATAGATATTGTTGGGATGTCACCTCCTGCAGTTTTCAGAATAGAAAGTCTTTTATAATTTGTATAAAAAATTCCAGTACTGTTCACACAAAAGAAAACCCGGTTTGCTGTCACATTGATAGCTTTTTCAGGAAGTGAAAAGTCATTCGCCTGATTTTTTTAAAAAAACTTAATTAATGCCTGATGGAAACATTAAACTCGTGTGAAAGCTACACATGTTGGAACTATGTGTTATGGTAAACCTGTTTAATGCACACGTGTCAAATCATATTTCAAATATACTATTATATTCAACTATGCTATCTTTAAATAACCATTCTTGCCAAAAAAGAAATTAAAAAAAAAACAAATACAAATCACAAGCAGTTAGCAAATTATGTAGCAAAAATTAATGTCCTCATCTCTGGAAATGGAAAATTTAAAGCTAGGTTTAAGTCAAAGAAAAATTGTTCAGAAGTTTGAGTCGAAAGAAAAATTTGTTCAGAAGTTTTTACCAGTTATCAATAATCAAGCAGATAAACGATACATGCACCCACACTGACAGGGTTTATTTTGTTGTACCTTTAAATATCAGACATACCAGATGAAAGAAAGGATCTGCAGGATAAACATTAGGGGTATTTATGCATTGTCTTAAGATGACAATATACATGTATACCCCTTTGAAGTGTTTTATACAAATATAGTAGACCCCTACAGAGTCCAGATTACTTCGCTATTTTCAAACTCATTTAAAAATCTTGACAAGTAAGATGTTCCTAGCATCATGAAAGAAAAAAAAACAGCTCACGCAGTATAAGTACACACAGCTGAAATGCTATACATAACCGATCAAAAAAATAATTATCAATCGTCTGGCTTCACTGCCTTCTTCTGTAAGTTGTGGCGTCGTATGATCATCAGTATAACAAGAGTACAAGAGAAGATTACCACAACTAAAGACCCGAAAACAATACCAATCACGATCCTAACATCCATGCACCTGTTCGAGTCTGAAAGATGAAAAACAATTTTCATAACAATAGGCCCATGGGCCACATTGCTCACCTAAGCACATTGGCTAGGAAGAAGCAGAAATCAATTCAGTATTGAACGGGGGGGGGGGGTTAAATTTACACTATTTCAAGATGTTTCCACATCAATATTACTAATCATGGCTATGCTGTTGTTTTTAAACATAAGATTTGAAAGATTTTTCCCTATGTTTTCTTATGTTAAACTCTGATCTCTCATTGTGACCCAACCCTAAATTTGAACAAATATGAATCTGCACTACCTGAGGATGCTTCTATAATAATATGACTAATTATGGCTTTGCTGTTCTTGAGCAGAAGGATTTTTTTCAAGATGATTCCTATATATTCTTATGCAAAACTTTGACCCTTTGTTGTGCACCCAACTCCTGGGGGTCATCATTTGAACAAACTTGATTCTACTATACCTAAGGTTGTTGCTGTATAAAAATGATTAATAATGGCTAACTTGTTCTTGAGAAGAAAATTTTAAAGATATATCCTATGTATTGTGTATTATCAGTTTCTTTCAAGGGATTTATAGATTCTCCTTTTACTCTGTCTGAGTTAATGACTGGATGAACAGAACAGCTCTGTCTGAGGGTATATCACACAGTACTTAAATTTTCTCTTATCTAAAGACGGGGACTGGGTAAGGTACTATTTGCACTGTGTTCCTCCCCTAGGTTCCCATTGATAGATAAGAACCGGCTGTCTATATTCTCTTCAGATTTACTACACAAAGAACTCAACATCAATTCCACTGGATACATTCCGCTGGTGTTTATAACTTTTTATACTTTAATTTTGCTCTTATCCTTAACGTTTTCCTTCCTTAATAGGGCCAAATTCTCTATCCTTAAATGCCCAGTACGTACATAATACTCTGATATTAATTTAAAGCACTTTACAGTAGAAAGTGATTTACCAACTGAAGAGAAAAATGTAATAAACAAAGCAGTAATTAATTAACAAAGATTGCATTGAAGTCTATGAAAACAAGCGATTTTTTTTAAAAATAAAAATTCAAATAAAAGAATAAAAATTAATACTGTGGTGGAAAGATGTATTAAAGCATCAGAAATGAATGACAATTAAAAACGATTTTCTTTACCAGGCAAGTTTTTAAAATTGATTTTTAATTAATCAAAAACAGAGGGAGATAACTCTTTCCAAAATTCAAGGTCATAAATGATCACACATCCAACACTTACATGTTTATAGTAATTAATGGAAATTATGTCTAAAATACTGAGTATTCAAACCCCTCACAACTGTTATATATTCAATTTCATTCAATCTTTTGCTATTGGGATGGAATACTAATTTGCTTTATTGCTGATTCAACATCCAACTTCTTCAGCTAGCTTCTGAATGCCTAGCATTCTTTAAGCTTTGCCTTATATACCCTTTGGTTTGGCTAGTCCATTCCAAGGGTTGTGAGGTTATTCCACTATTTGATGTCTTCAATACATTTTACTCAAATGCCCCTTAACCATTACCTATATATTCCTATGTAAAACGTTGACCCATTTTTTGGCCCCGCCCTACCCCAGGGGTTATGATTTGAACAAACTTGAATCTACACTACCTGAGGATACTTCTGTATTAATGTGACTAATACTAGTAATTGCTTAGCTGTTCTTAAGAAGATTATTAAAGATATTTCCTAAAAATTCCTATGGTAAACTTTAACCCCCTGTTGTGGCCCTGCCTACCCTCAAGGGTCACGATTGGAAAAAAAACTTGAATCTACACTACCTGAGGATACTTCTGTTATAATATGACTAATCATGGCTTTGCTGTTCTCGAGAAGAAGATTTTTAAAGACATTTCCTATATATTCCTATGTAAAATTCCGACCCCTCTTGTGGCCTCGCATGAACAGTATGGACAAACTGTAAAGAAGACCCTCAGGTATTGTCACCTGATGATGTTTAGGGGCAGCTTGTAAGAAAAAAAATACAAAATAATATAACAAGAATAAGAAAATTATATACACCTATATACAATAAAGGGAATAATGGCTCAATTGATAAAGGGAAGAAAATGTGAAATGTTTACAGATGACAGACAGACGCCGGACACTCTTTGATCACAAAAGCTCACTTGAGCCTTCGGCGCTCAGGTGAGCTAAAATGTATACATCTTATAACTATCTTTTTTCTCTCTGACCAGCTATAAATCACTATAAAAACTATTTCTGATCTAGATTACCTTTAGTGACCTTTGCGAAGTTTGATGAAGCTGTCTGAGTTGAGCTCATTTCCGTTGTCTGTTCCGTACTAGTAGTTGTATCTGTCACATTCGATTTGTATTTTATAAGAAAACCATGGCGTCCGACAGTATTGTCACTGAAGAACGATACCACAACAGATGACCCTGAAGAGGTAAAGGTGAAGGGCGCGACCTTTGGGTACTGAGAGCACACAGTTCTTACTGCATTATTATCACAACGGTCATTTCCTTCATCAAAAAGAAGGAATCGCTGTTGATTATTATTTATATGGGTAGATGTTGCTAACATAACTGTTATCATAGGCGTCGGAAGCAAATTGAAAGGGGGGGGGGTGGTACTTGAAAGGGGGGGGGGCTAAACGAACCAAAACATTTGGGGACTAAGCCCCAATTTTTAATGCCTATATTATATCTATCTGTTCCGACGCCTATACATCCAATCTAAACTGTATGCTACTCACCATCATTAATGTAGTACTTATCATAGTTACACTGCGTTGGAAGATCATCCTCTATGTCTGAAAACATGACGTCAAGATCAACATTTCCGGTAGCGCTTGTAATCATCCAGCGACAACTCTTACCACTGTTAAGAAGGATAAAAACGTTTTGTAAAATAATTTAATGTAAATATATGTACTCAGTTTATCGAACATTATTGAATTAATCATATTGAACTAATGTGACATTCTCACTTGTTATAAAGGCCAGGGAAATTCGGACTAGAAAGGAATTGTATGTTATCTCCTGCAAACAAGGACTGTGTAGATGTACATCCAGTTCCGGCTAAAACGAAACGAACATAAAACTTGCATTTGTTTCAATTATATAACAAGTATTTGGTGCAACTGGTCAATTACTCTTAGCAGTTTAATCATGTTGACATGAATGAAAGAAAATACATTTCAGAGATTCATATCGATTTGCATTCCTAGCAATTATTTCTTGCATCCGCTTGATTATACATGTGTATCAGTATGACTTAAAATTCATTAAAACATTTATCAGTACATGTAGTTGGTATACAGGGATAGATTTGGAAACATACAGTAGTCCTTCGCCGCAATAAAATCCAACTTGAACCCAGCCTTCTGCACGCTTGAGTCCGTTACCATTCGAAGGTAGGCGAATCGCTGTGTCGTCGAGTAGTGCGAAGGCGTGGCTGGTGTCCCACACTTGTTATTAGCAAGGACAGGGGTCGTTGCTGAGTTTCCTTTTAAAATCATGGGCTTCTAATTAACCACAATTAAGTTTAAAAGTCTGCATATCAGAAAATACCAAATAAAACAAACAAATGAAAGAAAAGAAAGAACAAATAAAACAAAACGAACATTAAAAAAAACATACTTGAACTAAACAAAACGAAAAACAAATCAAAAACATATAAAAATAAGTCATGCAAACAAAAGACAGAGTTGGAAATGCATAAATGGTGGAGATGGTGGAATTAATTCAGTCATTAGTAAACGATAGTACATTGTATTTTTATTTCAATTGTACTGATTTTTTTTTTCAATTATCGAATGAGCATATGTCCTTGCATAAAGTTTCAGCTCTCCAAGGAAATAAAATGAATATTTCTGATTTGATTTTATCTATTATCAATAAGTCTGCCTGAAGTACTTATGATATATTGTACTAGATAAAACATGCGCGAATCTAGAAGGGGGGGGGGCTAACAAAAAATTATTATACTTAATTATAGTTTACTATAGTTAACTATAGTGAAAACTTTGATACTTTGATTTACTATGAAACTTTACTCTAGGACTTTTTTGAGATTTCAAAGCCTAAAATCTCTAAAATTCGATAACAGTACTTTAAAATTTGGAAATAATGTGTGAATATACAAATAATATTTCAATTTAATATAATAAATGTGTAGGTATGAATTGAAGAACTAAAAATATAACGATCTAAAATCCATAGTAATATACTTTGATTTACTATAGTTAAAAAACTTTGATACTATAGTAAACTATAGTTAACTATAGTACTTTTTTGTTAGGGGGGTCGCGGAAGTCCTGACCCCACTGGTATTTGCAGAGTTGATTAAAGTATATACGAAGACAAAAACACAATGACTTTGGACCCCCTTACTATTACTATTAGCATGACAGTTCATGCATTTGCCTGCAAAGAAAAAATGGCATCCATCGATAGTATGACTGTGATAGAATCTGACAATTAAAGAAAATATGGTTCCCTAACCCTCAAATGAATAAGTAAATTGAAATTACTAGAAATAACTATTTATCATTTTATTAATACGTGTTTGCAACAATCCTCCAAAAGAGATTTGAGTCTGTCTTTACTGTAATTGTCAGTATACACGATCCAATTTGGAATACCGATCCCGATGTATTTTCATGGTATTCAAATATAAGTTTGTGTAGCAACTGAATATCATACAGTTTCAAAGTACCTTTTCATGAGCTAAACGTGTTCCAATAGTCCCTCAGAAGAGATTTCAGTCTGTTTTTACAGCAACTGTCAGTTTACACGATCCATTGTGGAATACCGATCCCGATGCATTTTCATCGTATTTAAATGTAAGTTTGTGTGGTAACTGAATATTATACAGTTTCAAAGTAGAGTTTCATGAGCTCATAAACATGTATAAATGCTAATTATTAAAATACTGCCTCTCAAAATTCAAAAATCATAAGTTAAATCAAACTGCCCAGGGTACCTTTTGCAAAGTAGGTTTAAGATAAAGGTCAAGTGAATTGTAAGGCTGGTTTTTTTTTTTTCATATTGTTGTATGACTAACAGTGCACATGCTTAATAGCATAGACTTACCTCTTAAATGTCAAAAATATGCTGTATATTGGCACTATGAACTTTTTTGAAAAGAAGATCAAAAGTCAAGGTCAGAAGTAACGAGGTCGGTAAACATGGTAATTTACAAAAGCCATTGTGCCAAGCAATATACGCAAAATATCAAATCCATACCTCTTACAGTTCTCGAGATATAGGGTGTGACAGACGGACAGACAGACAGACGCCGGGTAAATTGATCCCTTAGTGCCGCTCTGCTGTGCAGCCGACACAAAAATACTACGTGTCACTATGTTACGTTTCCGTATCTCAGTGGCAAATATGCACAGTCATTTTACTGAAAAAATTATGAGCACATCCAACTTATCGTTTTTTCGATACATAATTATAATCATAACTTATATTGTTATCGATTGCTTTATCATTATTTCCATGCCCCATTCACACCAAAGCTTTTTATTTACATTCATGTAGTGATAATTGCCTCTTTTTTTTCTTTTTTACATCGGGCTCGATGCCATATGATGTTCTAGAATTTTTCGTCAAGATTAAGATCGGTGAATTACGAAAACGATTTGCATATTTTGATTTTTAATCTGTTATCATAAGTTATTTCTTTTATATCACTTAAATCAAGTTTTATTTAAATATTTCAGTGTTGACGTTTTATGAAATAAATAAGCGATAACTTGCTTGTTGTCAGTGTCATAAAAAATTGCCAGTAACTTAGATCCGCCAACCGTAACCACTATCGCACTCCCCTTTTTGCTATTTCACGGCTGTTTATCGAAAATGAAAGTAGACATTTAATTAAATTTACGATAATAAACCATGCGAGTGAAATCTATGTATAGTTTATGGACATCACCTCATACCTAGTGTATTCTTAGAGGAGTAAGTATGAACTTTAGTGCAGGTGTTTCAGAGTTTATTTGCAAAATTTATTACTTTATAAGTATAGATGTTTTTCAACTTATTGTTTGTAATACATGTATTTCAATTTCGCGAAACATCTTTGGCACAGACACTTGTTTCGTATACAGGACATCCGGTCCTTTCTCTTTCCACAAGGTACCGAACTCAATTTCAGACTCACCCCACCCCACCCACTTCATATTTTATTTATTAATATATCAATAACCTACGTCTATAACATTATTTAGTTTGCTTCGAGAGACTTTTTCTATTGTAATGAAATCGTTCCTGTCATCCTTTATCGAGTCTCTTTCTTGTAAATCACGAATTTCTACCTCGTAAATTACCTCAACACTTTGTTAGCCTTTACAGAAGATACGTCAACTTCTGGTTAGGGTATAGTGCACGATAAAACCAGATATTTCAGAATGAAAAGCTCGGAAGTCTCGAAAATTTGAGATTCAAATCGTTATTAGATATTATAATTATCGATAAAGATAATATTTTAAAATTTATTCTAAATCTATCATCCCTTAAGGACATACGCAATGTACCTTACCTACTGATAATTTTTTAAGATATTCTTAATTTAAGATTATAGTGCCATCAGATGTTCATAGACAAAAAATCAGCATGCATTACCAGGGGTTTTGAAAAGACATCTATTGATGAAAATTCTAGTATAATTCAAAGAAAAATATACAAAAATTACTAAGCATAAATTCTAGATGTTTTGTTTATCCAAACTTGTTTTAGAAGAGGTGTACAACACCATATATAGACATTAAAATGTAGCACACAGTCCCTTTAAGTACTGAAACTCTTCAACTCCAGGGAGAAAGACAATAAAGTTCAAACTACGTTGCGTATGTCCTTAAAATGATTTATTTTCAATGTTTTCGAGGAAAAATTTTGCGGAGTTTAGCAAAAAATCCTAAAGGATGATAGATTAAAAATAAATCCTTTTTACTGATAATTAATATCAGAATTATAATTAAACGATTTTTATATCAAATTTTTACCGTTTAAAATTTATTGTACAACGAAAATGTGGTTATATTTTCATAATATGCAGACATGTTCTTTTTTTTTATCTTAGTTTGCACAGATTATATTCTGGAGGGTCACCGTTTTACAGAAGAACTTACGACTAAGACCAAAATGTAATTTTGTAAATAAGTTCCTTTTTTACATTAATATAAAAATGGTTTTGATCTTTTTAAAAAGAATTTAGAAAGATATATTTATTCAGGCAATTTCTTATCAATTTATTTATTTTTTAAGGTTTTATAATCACCAACAGGTTTTCGGATTAAGTTGTATTAAAGCTCTCGGGCCCCTGGACCTTTGGCATGCCATCATGCTTTGTGATTGCGTTGAACATTTCTTTTTTACCACTAGCTCTTAACAAAGCCAGCTTGCAAAACAAGTGAAAAACCATGTCATCAATATAGATAAGATTCAACTTGACGGAATTAATTATCTGTTTTCAGGCGACATTCTATTGTCAATGAGAACCTTGTTTTAAAAACAAGATGACATTACATGGCAAACAAGATTTTTTTCCTCCAGAAACTGAAAAGCAGTGCGTGTAAAAAGTGTTGTGAAGTACCTTTCGTATTCCTTTGAAATGCTATACAGGTACTTAAACATGCAGTAGACAAACAGATTGTGTGCACATCGAAATGTCCTGAAAAATTCCTGTCACGAAACGATCGAATAGAGAATCAATCTGTGTATACATATATACAGAGTAATGCGTGGGCTGTATATAAACAATCAATTCAAACGCTCACGTCGTAAAAAGTCATTTCTTTGAACTTAACACTCCTCTTGATTCGAATTAGAATATTTAATTTGGAATTCTAATACTTTTCACTTGGAATTTCCTAGAAATGACGAGTTACTCACCATCGTATATATAAACTTTATCTCCAGGGCACGCAGTATCCAACGTTAGAAATAACAAAAGACGGAGGTCATCCGCCCCCGAGTCGATCCGCCACCAACAATCCATGTTACTAAAAATAGATCACTTTTTTTTCGAACACATTCATAAGTACTGGTTTGTTCAAATAAATAGCAAAAAAAAAAAATATCATTCATCTGGAAAAAGTGACTCATTTACATCCTATTTAACGAGTGTTCTGAAGATTTTTCCTTTCTCAGATTGAATCCACCTACTTAATGTAGGATCCACTCCCTCCGTTGAATCCGACGGAAGTGAAGGATCGCCAGCTGGTATCGGCAGAAATTTCCTGTGTTGTTACGTCACAGAGGGCAGAGACAGATGCTATAGGACAAGAACGAAATTTCATTTGATTTGTTTTGAGTTATAAGATTTCATATGAACTGGATGTAATATTTACTGGTATCTGGATGGTTAAGTATAGTGTATTGTGTGTTCATCTACATTTATTTGTCTGTCAGAAGTGACGAGTTTCACCCCTTAATTTTTTTAATGTACATAGAAGTACGATGTTTTACCACTGCTTATTTCAGCAGTTTTTCATTTTAATTTAAATCAATTTAGCTATATATATATATATATATATATATATATATATATATATATATATATATATATATATATATATATATATAACCAAAATACACTGGATGCATGTACACGATCCTGAAACATAGGTCCTGTGTTATTTCGAACTCACCGATCATCGAAAGAATTTTCCCACAAATCCAGAACGCTTTTGATGTTGCCTTCTAAATTAGAAATGCATTCATTAACGCTTTTGATGTTGCCTTCTAAATTAGAAATGCATTCATTACATTCAGTAAAACATAGCTTAATATGTAATTTTGGTTAAAAAAAAAAGAAGAATTTACTTACAATTCTTTGTCTACAGAATTCTACCATTTCTTTGTTTCTCCGTTTTCTCTGTCTAAAAAATGGCGACTTAGATCAAGTATTTCGAACGGCATTTTTATTGATAGACATAGCTTCGGTCATTCGATTCTCTTTCAAAACTGTTAGTCTGCAATATCAAGTAATTTTTATATCCTCTTTACTTTAATTAAATAAGGCAGTTATAGCCTTTATGCGCCATATTTCGGTCAGTTACCTGTCATCACAAGGAATTTTTGCATTCTGTTTCACATTTTATGATTGATATGGAAATTGTTTCATTATATGTTAAAGAATAGTCAAAGAACTTTTATATTTGAAAGAACGGAAAACTACACGGACAAATGTTGAAATTTATATAGAAAGTTATTGAAAAAACCTAATTAAATATCTATTTCAATTTTTTTCAAATTAGGATTACACTCCAGACTTTTGTATAAATAATTGAAGTTACAAGAAAAGAAATCTCAGTTTTGCAATCACCGATGAATGAAAAGAAAGAATACAATTATTTTTATGATTTTTACGACTTTTATAAACTTATCATTGCCCTTACCTGTTCAATTGCAAGCCCCGAGGGGTGGACGTAGAACCTGTAATTCTGCCCTCATCCCACTTCTAAGTATTTTAAAAAGCGTGGTAACGTCTTATTTACCCCCATCACACTCGTTGACAGAGAGACTTTTAAATTCTGAATTGTTTTATCAACAGAAAATATCTATTAAAAGAACAGGAGGACATATCGGGATACATCATTTCTGAAACTTCAAACAGAATGTGTCTGCTTTGTGTATTGGGTGCTTATAGACATTTGACAACCCTCTGACTGTAAATTCTGAATGAAATATTCCTTTGAGGCCTGGAAAAACGTTTAGTTTTGATGGACAGGGACGTGACTTTTTGCATTTTATGCCCTCTTTTGTCTGCACTTTGTCTGGTATCGCCGGTACCCTATCTCAAACAACGACTTCTGAAACAATTAACGTACTTTAAGCTGAAGCATTTTAGAAATACAATAGAATCACATCCATAAAAGACGTAAAAGAGAAAAACCTAGAAGCGTTTCTTTTTCCACTTATAGACAAGACACAGAGTTTCGGTGTAATAATACAAGTCCCCTTAACTATTTAGCAAATTTTTACCTGACAAAAATTTGCTAATTGTAATACTCTCTCTCTCCCTCCCTCCTTCTCTCTCTCTCTCTAGTAGATAAGGTCGTCTTGATCAAATACATGTACATGTATACCGTTTTCTAATCAATAAACTTATGCTTCAATTTTGTAGTGTCCCCTTAACTTAAGAAATATTTTTCGCTAATGTGGGAATGTTTGTTATATTGCAGATTTTCGTCGGGGCGGGTGGGGGAAGGGAAGGAACTTTTCACGACACTGGCAGTTCTTTATCTAATTTTAAATTATTATAATATCTTATTAATTTTCCACATTTTAAAAAAAAAATGTATACAAGTCAGAGGAACAAGAATTATAAAAATGTCAGAAAAAATCAGTGTTCAGCTTTTTTAGATATAAAAATAATGGACTTTTCCTTCAAGAAAACAAGACAAAATGCAAAATCTGAAAGGAATTAGTATCATGTTGTAAATTTGGAATTCACTGGGTGGAGGTAAATTCAAATTTTTACAACATGATACATGTGTGAGGTGAAAGGGAACGTCACAAAATTCTTTTTAAGAGTGTTAACAAGCTTGTAAAAAAAATTACCTGTGTCTTACGAATTGAGTTAATTCGTTTAGAAGGTCAAGATCTCTTGAAACACTCTGGCGCAGTTTAAATGCACTCAAATGACACGGTGACAAAAGAATCATGTTAACGGGGGCGTGGACGTCGTGTATTTATATTGACGTTTTGTTTACAATTTTAAATTTTTATCTTTATTCAGAAAATGACTTCAGTTTAATGATTTGAACTTACATGATGAACTTCCATGACAACGGCATTCTTCATAATCTTTCATCAAACACATGTGTTTGTAAATATGGACACGAGCTCTGTTATTGTTTATGTTTATATTTTATCGGGTGTGTTCAATTTGCTAATTCCGCACACATCACTGAACGCAAACTGACAACACTGGTGTATTGCATCTGCTCTATTACATTTCTGTTCTGATTTTACTTGATAATAGTTTTAATATTTTTTATTAAAACACCATATGATATCTTTTTTAATACACCGCATGATAGATTTTCCACTTTTCTTAAATAAGGATAAAAGTTCGAGAAAGAGCAAGAATGTTTGACAATCAAACACCGAAACTAGTATGTTCGATAATTTTCAAATAAAAGAATTTCCTAGTCACGCTTTTATAATATATCGGTCTTAAATGCTTTCGCAACATGTACATGTATATGTCAATATTTACATTTGCAAATCTTTTCCCTTACATAACACCATTGAAAGCAACGCGTATCTATATCCGTATAAACGCAGGTTCCTCGCGTCATAAACGTTCGACGTAATTTCTCAGTGACGTCATAAAGGGTCAACGCACAAACAATGGATCAAATACGTGCCGTTGAGTTTGAAAAATAAAACGTTTCACGTTTTAAAGATTATTATCAGGAAAATATAAAATATGAATAAGTCATAAATGTAAATATAAGTAATAATGTATTATTTTTAAACATCTATTGGATATAAATACGAGTTGGTACGAGATCAAATTTACCATAAAGCCCTACGGGCTTTATGGAATTTGATCTCGTGACCAATCCGTATTTATATCCCGATAGATGTTTAAAAATGATACATTATTTCTTAATAATATTCTAATGAGAAAAATTTTAACTTCAATCTGTGTCCATCCCCCCTTAAAGAAAAGGATGTTGAAATTGGTGCATATGTACTGGAAGTTGTGTGGAGGACCGGAAGTGTAAAGCTGGAGTCACAATTGAATTATCTCACAAGTACGGAGCTTTGTATGAAGTTTGGTGGAAACATCTTCAAAAATAGTTTTTAATAAATGAGTTAACGGAGGGATAGACAGACAGACAAACAAAAGACGAAAACGTCAAATATTATTATATGTAAAACGATCCGCTGGCAATATTTTAAAAAAAATGCTAAAGAATCTCTTGCATATAAATAAATGCTCCATGTTCCGAGTTTGCTCTGAAATGGAACAAGTCGATAGCTATATCAGTATAAACTATTTATAGGCTTTACTGCCAAATACTGCACTGACACGTCTCTGCATAATTTGATACATGTATTTGAAATGGAAAACCTCCTAAGAAAGTGTTTGAGTATTTACTTGTTGCATGAGATGTGATAAAAGAGCCTTTTTACGAGTAAGTGCTTGAAATTGTTATCTTGTTCATTCATTAAAAAAAACCAAAAAAAAAAAAAAAACCAAAAAAAAAAAAAAAACCCATCTGCATGTGTTACATTTCCTGTAACTGTTGATTGTTTGGATTATAGCCCAAGAGTTATCTACTCGTATGTTTACATTACAAGTCTGGGTGAACTTGACCTGCTTATACAAATGCGACGGAGTTCTGGGTTTAAAATTTCCAACAAAGTTCACAAAACTATGCTGCGATTACATAAGCACTTGCACAAAAAGGTCTAAACACTGAAGATCAATGGAGGACTTTTTCCAAAAACCCAAGAACTATAAAATCAACGAAGGATTCCGTTATGTCGAGGATAACCTTTATTGTGAGGAAATTCGCGTTTGTGATCTATTAGATTCTGAAGTTTCTGGACAAACTATTTCATCCCCGATATATGTGTACAGCAAACGACAAATCGAAACCAACATAAACAATTACAAGACCGAAATACAGAAATCGGGGCGGAGCATGCAGCTTAATTACGCAGTTAAAGCCAACATGAACCCCTTTATTCTGAAGCTAATGAAGAAACACGGTGTGTCTTTAACATTAGTAAGTGGTTCTGAGCTCCGCTTAGCTCTAAAACTTGGATTCGGACCGGGAAGTCTTGTATTAAATGGAAATGGGAAGCTCGATTGGGAGGTGGATCTAGCGTGTAAATCAGGTGTCCTCGTTAATGTGGACAGTCTGTTTAACCTCAAGCAGATCATAAGAGTGTGTCAGGCGGGGGGATATGTGGCCCAAGTGTTATTCCGAATCAATCCAGATATTGATCCGGTATAGTATTGCTTTTTCCCTCTCAATTTCTAGACTGTAGTGTAACAAAATGTACGAGAGAATTTCGTCTACAGGAAAATTTTAAATGCTTTCTCAAATCATTCCTTTTGCCTTACAAAAGACATGACTGTACATTGTACATTCAATGTTCATTAGGAAAAAATACATATCAATTCTCACGTGCAAGAGTTATTAATGGTCATTTAAATTGATTTGAATAAGTAAATCACCCATTGTTAATCTTATTTGTTTAACTAATTATAGGATGTTCATTCATATTTATCAACGGGACAGAATGGCTGCAAATTCGGAATAACGAGTGAAGAGCTAGAAGAAGTATTACAAATTGCGTGGGAATCAGAGAGAATTCGAGTTGTTGGTCTTCACTGCCATATTGGCTCTACCGTTCATGATGTCGAGAATTTCAGGTTCATATACCGGTAGTTGTGCTAGTAGTTTTCATACATTTTCACAATTGGTCAATTTTAACTGATTTTTATGCTTTTTAGACAAAGCACTCGTATACTTGTGGATTTGTTTGAAAAATTAAGAAACCGATTTCATGAGATGACGATTTTGAATTTGGGCGGAGGATTGGCTACTCCTTATAAAGAACAGGTAAGATATGTTTAAAATCATGTAATGTTAAATTACAGACAGCACACCGGAAGCTAGTATTTATATTAATTGCAAGACTGGATTACGCAGACTTCGTATCATGCGGCCGGTGTCGCATAATTTACGTTCCGGATACTTCGCGTTCCGGCCGGAACCTTAAAATCATAATATTGGTTCCGGATTTTACTGTAAGTTTGGTTCCGGCCATGGCTGCAATCTTCGAATCGCGGTATCTCTCAATTATTATCTGCCAGTTTTCATTCTACACTGAACCATAGATTCTGAAGTAGTATTTTCCTTGAGGATTAAGCATGGCGCAGCGGCATGCCATTTTCATGTGGCGCAATGTTCTTTTTATAAGACGTCATGCCCTTTTTGTACAGCCATTTTTAAAAATAAATGAATGAATAGCCCAAGTAAAGATCGTGAAATATACGCTTTCTGATACATATACACCGAATAAAATTTGGTCGCATGAAAGGCTTTGTTTATCTAATGCATACAAATTAAGTCCCTTTGTTTATTTAGTGCATGTCAGATGTGAATTTCTCGCTTGAATGCACGCAGACCCGGTATTTTCAGGGTAAAGAGGATAGAAGATAAACTAGACTGAGATTACAAAAGCCTAAAAAGAAGCACAATGTCAAAGATAAATTTGATCAGTAAATTTTAATTTTATAATCTGATAAAGTAAAGAATTAAATACAAAATGGTATATATGTATTTACGGAGATGCATTCTCTGTTTAAATGATATTACAAGTGTTGCGAATTCCACAATGTCGAGCCTCGAATACATGGCTTCCATTCCTCATAGATATTATCACTTGGCATGAAAATATGATTTATATTCCATTAGAAATAAACAAACATAAAAAAAAATATAATTGACTGATGAAGATAGTTATATAGTTTTTGTGATAAATTAACAATTGCTGAGAGTATTTTCAAACATAATTTTGCCGATATATAGATTACCATAGAAAACATAGTTACTATATGCTTGTGCCCCCTCTATAAAAACGTCTGATGACCTTTTTTTTTTTTTTTGCTTGTCAAGGAATTTTTGGTAGTTGATAGTGCCCCCTCAACTGAAAATGTATGGCTGTGCCCCCCCCCCCCCAATTGAAATTGCTTCCTACAGGCCTGCATGTACAAGGTTGTTTCTTTTCCACTTTATTACGCGTACGAAGAAAAATTAATTAATTTATTACGAATAAAAATTAGATAACGTTTCGGGTTACAGTTCCTGTGTATTTTCAAACATCTTTTGTTACTAGGATGTTTCTTTTTCACTTTATTACGAAGATAAAGAAGCCCGGAACTAAAATTATGGTCATAATTAACGTTCCGGGTTACAATTGCTGAGAGTATTTTCAAATATTTTTCTTACTAGGTTGTTTCTTTTCCACTTTATTACGAAGATAAAGTAGCCCGGAACCAAAATTATGGTCATAATTAACGTTCCGGGTTACAATTACTGTGTATTTTCAAACATCTTTTGTTACTAGGCTGGTTTTTTTTTCACTTTATTACGAAGATAAAGTAGCCCGGAACTAAAATTAATGTCATAATTAACGTTCCTTACAATTGCTGAGAGTATTTTCAAATATTTTTGTTACTAGGTTGTTTCTTTTCCACTTTATTACAAAGAAAAGGTAGCCCGGAACCAAAATTATGGTCATAATTAACGTTCCGGGTTACAATTGCTGAGAGTATTTTCAAATAACATCGTTACTAGGTTGTTTCTTTTCCACTTTATTATGAAGACAAAGAAGCCCGGAACTAAAATTATGGTCATAATTAACGTTCCGGGTTACAATTGCTGAGAGTGTTTTTAAATATTTTTTCTTACTAGGTTGTTTCTTTTCCACTTTATTACGAAGATAAAGTAGCCCGGAACCAAAATTATCGTCATAATTAATGTTCCGGGTTACAATTGCTGAAAGTATTTTCAAATATTTCTGTCACTAGGTTGTTTCTTTTCCACTTTATTATGAAGATAAAGTAGCCCGAAACCAAAATTATGGTCATAATTAACGTTCCGGGTTACAATTACTGTGTATTTTCAAACATCTTTTTTTACTAGGCTTTTTTTTTTTTCACGAAGATAAAGTAGCCCGGAACAAAAATTATGGTCATAATTAACGTTTCGGGTTACAATTGCTGAGAGTATTTTCAAATATTTCTGTCACTAGGTTGTTTCTTTTCCACTTTATTACGAAGATAAAGTAGCCCGGAACTAAAATTATGGTCATAATTAACGTTCCGGGTTACAATTGCTATGTATTTTCAAACATCTTTTGTTACTAGGTTGCTTCTTTTCCACTATATTACGAAGATAAAGTAGCCCGGAACCATAAATAATGTTCCGGGTTACAATTTCTGATATTATACTTTCATGTAAATTAGTTGAAACTGATTCGTCGAGAAACATTTGTTAAAAAACACGATTACCCGCTGAAGGTGTATTTCTTGTGACAAGACTTTCTCTAGGATACCAACAATTTTGACCTTGACCTTGGAGTTTGAACTATTGAAAAAAATTAACTTTAACCTTGGCCATAACTTTTGACATTTGATGCTAGGGCTTTTATATTTCACATGTATATTCCATGTGACGTGTCCTTTCCCTGGGTATCATTGATTTTGACCCTTTGAGTTTGAACCACTTTTTAAAAACTCTAACCTTGGCCATATATAACTTTTCTTGGGCTTTCATATTTCACAGGTAATTTCATTGATACAAGTCCTTTTTTGGAAAACAACATTTTGATCTCTTGACCCTGACCTTAGAGTTTAACTTGCACTTTAGAAACTTGACCCTTCACAAAAGACTGCCGTACGGGAGCATCAGTGTTTCACAAACACATTTTGTTTTTTATTACTTCTCACTTTACCTAATGTGTTTATGTTAAAGCGTTTGAACTTTTTTTTAACTATTAATTTAAAACAATTCCAGAATTTAATGTGAGCATGTAACCCTGTCTTTGACACATATATAATCTTTCAATTTTAGTCTTATAAGTTTATTATTATTTATTAATTGCTTTAGACATATATCTTATCGCATTTCAACAATTATAACAAACAGTGCCAAATAATACATAATGGCATTGTATGGTAGTTTTTATAGATTACACAATCGTCATATATAATGATTTCATGGAGAATTACCATATCATATAAGAAAAAACTGTCTCTCAGCTTAAAAGCATAATGGATATATGTCCCTAAGTTACAGAGAACATGGACGTTGTGAGCACTTAATAATTGTACAAAGAAGGTGGGCGTGTTTGGTGTGTGATCTGCAGGAATAAGGTGTACGAAACATTTATGATTAAATGTCTACGATTTGGTCGGCTGACCACAGCTGGACATACTTTACAAAGTTACGCACATAAGAAAATGTTACATTTAGTTTGAAAATACTTTGTCAAATTTAATATATCAGTCCGCCTATCTTAATAATTACTACATGTAAAACTTAGTAACGCTTCACATAAATACTAAACACCTACAGGGTATAGTTAAATGCAATTACAAGTACATGTATATATTAAAGTATCAATAGGTTGGAAAGAATTGCTTTCGCTTTCGGTGCAACAGAACCAGAATTTATCTATTTGAAAATAAATCAGTACATAAAATTAAACTGACAAAAGAATTGATTGTTTGCACAAAAAAAATATTAACGCTCTATGCGAGGATCGAACCAAAAACATTTCTTTTCATTGCACTGGACTGGTAACGAATACTAATAAGCTATCACCGCTACATACACTTTATGGTTTTTAAAGCGACAATGAAGCACCGCATTTACACATTGGATTTTTTTTGGGAAAAAGTTCATTTTTTATTGTCTCTGGGTCTTCTCTCCATTTTTTACAAATGTTAGTTAGTTTCTTTGAATTAAAATGCACACAAAGTTCGTCATATTTTGCTGGCATTACATTAATTGTTAAAAAAATAAATTTTATCCGAGCAAAAAAAAAATCCACAATTTTTTTTATTAAATTATTACAGGAAATTGTTTTTCTTCATATTAAATGCTTTATAATTTTCCGCTGAAATTAATGTCTATTCACACCTTTGCAGGTCCTTCGCCCACACATCTCCTATTATGTTCATTCATGTATTGTGATTTAATTATATATTTGGCTTTACAAAAACGCAATGGGTGTTTGAAAAAATATATATAAAGATATTAAAATATTATCCAATAATTTTTTTAATCGTTAATATAATTCTTCTATTAGCATTACCAGCTGATCAGGGTGCCCTTCGCCTAAAACTCATTTAAAATTGCGGAAATGACACAGCGATTCGCATGACTGCATATTGTATCGATAGAAGGGAGTCATAAAACAACAAGATGGGTATGTCAATGTAAACAAGTTTCACACCTTCGCGTTCTTTTGTTTACAAAGAAACAACATAATTACGTATAATTCCTTGAATTATATTATAGTATTGGTACATGTACATGTATTAAGACCGTATATTGGGACTTCTTCTAAATCGATATACGTTTAAATCCTGCTGCATCGTATAACCCGTTAAGAGAAAGAAAAAATCCAAATTATTTGTAAATATTAATTATAAATAAAGTTTTTAAAAGGGTACTTGGATGCCCGGAACGTTTATTATGGCCGGAACCAAACTTACGCGGGCCGGAACGTTTATTATGGCCCGGAACCAATATTATAGGTATTTAGCGTTCCGGCCGGAACGCTAAGTTACCCGGAACGTAAATTATGCGACACCGGGCATTCTGGGAGCTAGGTACAATCACAACTCTGCCTGCCTTTGTGAAGGGTTTTACTGATCTAATTTACAATGTTGAAGTGCATTTTGAAACAAATTACCCTTCCAGCCAAACTCCTTATACTTTTATTTCATTTAGATTATGGTACCAGAAAAGGTTAAACATGAGCTCCATCTTGAATTTGACAACTGTACGGAGCCAAATAAATTGAAATTATATGAAGACCTAATCAACAACAGGTATAATTTGCTTCGTATCACTATTATCATTTAAGGATGGGAAATACTGAACCATAATTATATCTTATTTGCAGAATTACTCTTCCCACATTCGTCAGTATGCTTCAGTCATTTTCTGGTAGAGAGACGACAGTATCGAAAATACGACAGTACCTGCACAAAGAGGTGTGTTATTATAGACAACCCTTTTTTTTGATGTACTATACACTGTAAATTTGGCTTTTATATTTTCCATTAAAATTTATGTTAAACCATACCTTATTTTTTTCTTTTATTTGTTGCAGATGGTTGTACCTAAACCAGCAGATCTGATTAATTCTGTTTCCGATATTTTGCCATCTGATACTATCGCTATTCTAGAACCTGGACGTTCAATGGTTGTCAATTCCGCCATTCTTCTATCGCGTGTTCTAGGAACGAAATTATCAAGAAAGAAAAAGTAAAACCATCATATAGTGGCATATTAAATTCATGTAATGCTATGAATATATGTGACAAAGAACTCAGTTTTATTTAATTACTCTAAGTTTTACGTTACAGTTACATCGTAATAGATGGATCGATGACAGAGATAATTCGGCCATGTTTATATGGCGCGTACCATCACATCGAATTAGCAGAACCTAGTCAAGTAAACGTTTGTCATCAGTCAGCGTTAGTTTGGGACATTGTTGGTCCAGTATGTGAGAGTGCCGATTTTCTTGGCAAGGTTGTGCTCATTCTTATGAAATGTGACCTGTTGTGTTATATATGTTTGTTTGGTCCATTTACTTGTTTGCTGGTCTATAAAATTAAGTAAACATTAAAGTTTGGGAAGTTTGATTTTAGGGGAAAATGTGGATCTGTGTAAGAAAAATAAAGATTACGCAGATCTGTTGATAAAAGTCTAGGGCAGTTGAAGTAAATACATGTATGATATATATTGTAATTTTTTTAATTATGAAAAAAGAAATCTTAAAGTGTACGAAGACTCATTAATCATTTTTACTTTGACAGGACCGTAAGTTAGTCACACCACATGAAGGTTGTGGCATCGCAGTTTTTGACACAGGGGCGTACTGTAGCAGTATGTCATCAAACTACAATATGAGAGTAAGTACATTTCCCGAAAAAAAAAAATGAAAATCTGGCATATCTTAAAGAATAATGTTTCTTTCAGTCTAACTTCGTGTTTTGTTTCCGATTTTAGGTTCGACCAGCGGAACTTCTCATAGATGGCGATAAAGTTGAAGTCATTCGAAAATGTGAAACTTTTGAAAATATGATGCACTGTTATGATGTGTGTAATACTGATTAAAATAATAATTTTGACGAATAAAATGCACGGGTAAAACTGTGTTACCTTTATATTATATTCATGTCAGAGTTGCTGGCCTTGAATTAAATGTTCATATATAACGCCACTAACCAAGAACAATTCAAAACATGCAACCAACTGCATCATTGGTCAAATCACGATTTGTTTAAACACTTTCCACGACTACGTGTAATAGCAAACCACCGAGAAATTAAACTTATGAGAAAGGACATTTATAACTTGTAAAAAATGGTTTGATAATTCTGGAAATGGGTAGTAATTCATCTGCTCAAGGATCTTCGCAGTCAAATGTCAAAAAGCAAGGCGTACAACGGGAACCGGACGAAGAAGACGTAAGTATAACGTCATATTTTTATTCCAGTGCATGTGGACGAAAATACCAGGGGAAAAAAATCAACACTCCATTTATACGAAGAAAATTTCATTCACCTATCAAGAACCTTCAGGGGACATGTGCATTTGAAACAAATAATATAATCATGATTTTAACATAACAGTAAATGTTTATACATTTTTTTCCCTTCATTTCCTTTACCTTTCTGGTCACAGGTAGACGTTCCCGAGTTTCCCCCGGACGAAGATTATCCCCCACCCAAACAAAATTCTCTGAAGAAGGACGACATTTACGAACACTGGAAGTACAAAGATGTCCATCAGCATGTCAGAAAAGTATGACAAAAAGTCCATCATGCCTATTTACATGTAGATAAATTTTTCATATCCCTGGGAGGGAGGGAGGGGGCATGTCGCTAGGGAGCTAGAAAAGTATATTCAGCTTCACAGTCACTGATGAAAAGGTTTTCATTTTTACTGCTGAATTTTGTACATATACTCCAGGACCTCCAGATCGTGGCACAAAATTTTGTATTTGTTAAATAACGACAGATACTCACAATATTTTTAGCTAATATGAAATAATTAATATGTTAAATAATATGAAAATTTTCTCAAAGTAAGGAGGAGAGGGACTCCGTGGCCCCCGCTCCCCCCTCTCAATCAGCAACTCTGCTTGATTGCAATATCACCATTTTGCTTACAATCTTTTGCGAACAATTCATTGACCAATCAAAGTTAATCTAATCACAAGTACCATTTTCATCGGCATTTAGTCATCGTTATTAGTCTTGCTGTAGCAGAATATATGTACGTTTATAACCAAGTTTTAATGACTAGAATTCTTTTCCAGATTCCTGGTAAGATCGACCTGTCTTTCCAGCAGCTCCTTGACTACCTCGTGGTTCCATTCAGGACTGACATGCAGAAGGTGCGCGCGCTGTTCATGTGGCTGTGCGTCCAGCCAATCACAACAACCAAATACAAAAATTTGGAAGGATACCCTCCAGAAGATCTCGCAAAAACACCCAGAGGATTCATGAAACTCATCAAGGAGGGAAAAGCCTCATATGCCTCACTGTTTGCCGTACTCTGCAGGTAAAAATCATGAGCTTAAATTGTGCAAAAAATCAAAAGTTAAAAACTATTCAGAACACGTGCTTATAAATTTACTTTTTTATCTACTTTTAAGAGGGTAATATTTTGTAGAAAATCGGGAATAAAGTGCGCGATAATAAAAGGAGTGTGCAAAAGTGCTGGATACGAAGTAGGAACCTCAGAAACACTGAAGGACCTCAGGTCCAAATGGAACGTGGTTTGGGTCAAGGACAGCTGGAGGTTGATCCATCCATTGTGGGCGTGTCAAACAGTAATTGGCAAATCAGGACTGGACAAATGGACTGCCTACGACGACGAAGAGGAAAACACAGAAGGATGGACAATACAGAAAATCAACGAGTTTTTCTTCCTCACTGATCCGCATGACTTCCTGTATTTCTGCTTCCCAGACGACCCAAAATGGCAGCTCTTGACGGTTCCGTATGACCTTAAACGCTTTGTCCGCGTTCCATTTCTACAAGAGGCATATTTCGGACTTGGTTTGAAGCTTATCACCGAACAAAGCTGTATCTTACACGATATTGATGGGGTTGTTGAAATCGCGTTCCGAGTTCCCGATGACTACCCAACACAAATGAACTATGACCTACTTTTCAAACGTGACGAGTCTGAGGTTGACCTTGACAATAAAACACCACTGAACAAATATGTCATTATGAACTATGATGATAATATTTGGACTTTCATTGTTAGATTCCCAGTTCCAGGTGTGTATAAACTATCAATTTTTGGTGGACATGTCGACCGAGAAAATGTTCCATGGATTGCCGATTTTCGCCTTATTTGTGAAAATCCGCGAGAAAATTGTGTACCTTTCCCCGACGCGCCATGGATCGGTCTTGGTTATTCATACGAGGCTCAAAAGGGTGGGCTTATTGACCCCTCACAGAAATCAGGACTTCTCGTCATGAAACCTCATCAAGAAGTTCACATTACAATTATGACAGAAACTTACCTTAGCATTAAAGTCAAGTTCTTACACATCCTTCTAAGTGAGAATGAATTAAAGGAAAGATTTTATTGCAAGAAGAACGTTGGGAGGATAGATATTATGGGTAAAATTCCTCAACACGGAGACTACTTAATCAAAATTTACGGTAAGCCTAAAGATGTGAGAGGAGAGATGAACAACATCTGCAATTACATGATCTGTACGGAGGACCCAAGACCCTCAACCAAAAGGAGGAAGGGCTGGGAGGTACAAACATAAGTAATGTAAACAGGCTTATTTTCGCCCCCGTGTTTTTTTTCGCCCTAATCACACTTACAAACGAATGTGTCCTGTTTTTAATCCACCCATACTCCGTTGTTGAGCTGAGTTCATTTTGAATTTGCCCACTGACGACGATGGCGAAACGGACAAAGATAAAAACGGGGGCGAAAGTATTCCTTGTATGCAGTGACAAGACATTTATATCTTGTGTTGACCAACTTGAATTAAATTAATATACCTAAATTCATTGCAAAGAATGTAAGCAACAAGCGCTTTACACTTAAGTTTATGCTTGGTAAAAAATTACATTATCTATGAAATTTCTATACCTTTATTTAAACATTTCAATGCGTTCTGTATGTTACAGAATGCTCGAGAGAAGCTGTTGAGAAGGGGGGTCAAGGAGGCCACTGCAGTGAAGGACATTGATCTACTAAAGGTGACCATTGATAAGTTTGTCAATGCAGGATTAGAGGACCGCGGGGATTACACGAAAGCCAGCACTAGGCTAGAGTTTTTGGAGGTCAAACAAAGTAAGGTCAATACATGAATGTTTAACCCTTTATCATATGCAACTATGCACAATTCGCCAATGACATCCTGTTCGCGATAATTCACGTTAAAACTTAGATTTGTTTTACATGTATAATGTCGTCTTAGTTTTAGTAGCTCAGTCGATAAAGATATTGCTCTTAGGCTAATACGCTGCTAAGATGTTGTTCATTAAATTGTCGTTTAATTAATGGTCAAAATTTGATTTGAATCAATATGTGCTCGAAAAAAAAGGAAAGGGTCATAAAAATCTGTACGAATATATGATATGTTAAATTAAAAGATGGTCATAATTAATTTAATACTACAAAAAAAAAAAAAAAAAACAAAAAAAAAACGTATTTTCATTTTTATTTTATTTAATATTATTTATTTAATTTATTTTAACTCTCTTACAACAGCTTTGATAAATGCAATCAACAGAAGAAACGATCCTTGCTTAGTCAGGGCGATCTCGATGGCCCGGGGGTCGGGATATGTGCACCGCCTGACCACACTGATTAAACAAGCAGAAGATCTTTTGGCCGAGTTACGCCGTCTAAAGGGGTTCCAGCACCCGATTCCAGACCTCAACAAACCAATCATAGCGGAGTTGATGAACTACCAAAGCCCACTTCCGATGGTCCATGACGTCATGATTGCCACCTTCTTGTTGCTAGGTGAAAAAGAGGAAGATCTCAAGGTTATTTATTTCATCTGAAAAATGATTGGGGAAAATGTAAACATTTGAAAAATATAGTTAGTTGTTTTAGTTATATTTCTCTTTCCTCATCCTGAATTATTATGACAACACTGTGATTTACCTTTTTCAGTTTTGGGAGTACATTCAAAATCTGATGAGAAAGACCGGAAAAAATAGTCTTCTACACAGGTTTCAAAGGTTTAATATTGATGATGTACCAGAAGAGGTGAAAACCAAAGCGCAAAATATGTTTATGAGGTTTACTGAAGATGACGTGAGAAAGACCAGCGCAGGCGCAGCGTCTTTCTTTGTGTGGGTGAGTGTTCAGATAAAAGCATTTTGTTTTAGTAAAATAATTCTGTGATATTTTTTGCACACCTCATCAAGAACCTTTAAAAAAGTAGAATGTTTACTAAGAGATAATTTAGATATTTTTTTTTAAAAGAATGAAATATTTTTAGCAAAACCTTTGGTACTGTAGTTAACTATAAACTATAACTGTAAACTGTAGTTTACTTCATATTTTTGTTAGGGTTGATCAAAATTATAATTATTTTTGGAAATACATGTTACGATTTCTGTTCAATTGGATTGTCAATTATTATAATTATTTGAGTGAATATATAAAGGATACACTTGCAATTGAAAGAAAAATCACTAACAGTAGAAATGGTGTTTTTTTTTTTCAATGTAATCTTATGACAAAAATTGCATTTAATATCAAATGTAAATTAAAAGATAATGTCCACTGTGTAACAATACTTCTAGTACTTTGATTTCCTCTCTTCTTAGATTCAGAAGGTGATGAAAGAGCCTGATCCACCCCCTGAAACAGTAGTGTCCAAAACCAAAAAATCCAATAAATGACGAACAGATCATGCAATATCGAACTATTCTGACATTATTCAGTATAACATTACAGCGTGTCATGTTTCAATTTTCGTTCTTCGATTCCTTGGGTCTTAAATGTTTATTTTTGTTCATACTTATTTAAAAGCTGTACATCCATTACAAATTCATCTTTCCTTATTGTAATTTAATTTTTATGATGAAATTTAATGAAAGACATTTCCAAACATTGAAGAGTTATAATAAAAAAAAGCGAAATAAATCATTGAAAATCATCTGAACTTGTTAATGTGTTTCCGTATAAGTTATTAAACCTATGAATGTTTATGTACGCATTGTAACATACTTTTGTATTTTAAATGAATTGATGAAAGGAAATCGAATGGAAACAAGTATACCCAATTTCAGGACCTAGAAAAAAAATCATTATCCACCTGTCGATTAAATTATTTAAAAAACCAGATCATCAGAAGCTGTACAGGTTGATAGAAAATTAGAAATCTATACCTGAAATCGATTTTTATGACAACACATATCTCAGTTTCCGATCTTTTTTTCCAAACTCGAGCTGAGTTGTGCAACACTTCCGTCGTGAAGCACTTCCGGTCTGATGTCAACCCTCTATATGTGACGTCACTTGATTCCCTCTTAAGTAACCAAGGTAAGTTGTTTGGGCACAGTTTATCATGTTCCTGGTCCGTTCTATTATTAAACTTATTGCTGCGCTTAACATCTGATTAACAATGTAATAAACAACGTCGAATAATTCGAGAAAAATTACAGAATTAATATAGTTTAATGTCGAATTTTTATTTCATATAAAAAGAATTTTCAATAATTTTACTAAGATTAATTAATTTTACTCTTACGTAGCACATTAAGAGGGATTGTTTATATTGTTACTCCAAAGTAGTTTTAAATCACTCTTTTCTTAGGAAGACTTGCATCTATTTACTTAAAATGGACATGTCATGATATATATGTATAGGTGAAAACACATGAATTAACCGAGTTTTAAAGTTTAATACTATTGATGCAGATATCAGTCAATTTTTGGGGGGACATCAACGTCTACATTTTACCCCCATCCCCCATCCAACACACAAATGCTAAATTTGGGAATCTTCCATTTTATATGATACTGCCCCTTGTAGTAAATTGCAGGAAATGAACATATACTTTACTGTGCATTATAGAAATTCAATATATTCGGAAATGTGGTATAACTTTGGAAGGAATATTATTACCGCATATTAATTTTTCTGGAAAAATAAGAGATAACAAAATCAATTTATGTAAAATAGTAATTTTTTGTCAACAGGTTCACGAACAAACTAGGCGTCATTTAATATTTATCAATAACATTGTTCAACCTGAGATTGGGTAAGTTCAAGTATATGTTAAAGACAGATGATACAAACAAACTTTTAAAAAAATCATGAAAATACTAGTAACAACTAAAGCCATGTTTATATGACTAAAATGATAAGTTATGCCGCATAGATTTTAATGTTTCATTCAAAGTTTATACAATAATGATCTATAAAGTAATGAAAAGTTGTATACATTTGTAAGAGTGACAGTAAAAAGGTAGAATTTTGATCACCAGAGAAAGTTTAAAATTTAAGAAATTTGATATTTGCATCATTTACAATCAAAATAGGTCCAAAAATATACATCAATCTAAGCATCTATTTATTTATTTATTTATTATTTGCTTGCTGCATTTGTCCTTGATAAATATTTAAAGCAAAGCTGTTAGACAAAATACTGAATTTAATATGTTTAAATATAAAGTAAAATGTATATATGTTTGCTTAGCCACAGATATGGGTATTTCTTTTTCCAAATTTCTCAATAATGTTCTATAAAGTGATAAAAAGTATAGATTTATTTCGGCTACGTCGAAATTTGAACATCATGGAAAGCCTACATCTCTCAATATTTTAGGAATTTGATATTTGCATCATTTACAACCAAAAGTCCTATTTTTTTTTTTTATTGTAGCGAGGGTATTTAATATGATGTGTTTCATAAGCATTATAGCAGTATTGCCTGTCCTAAAATAACTTCAAAGCCGTGCTCGATCTGTCGCAAAGATCTTTCTTCTAGATCGAGATAGGGATCAGCCAAGTCAACACAATCGATGAAAAAAATAGTTCAAACCAACCAAAACTTAAGAAAATTGTTAATTGCCCAATCGATTTAATTGAAAAGCTAATAAACCCCATTCCTTATGCTACAAAGACATAGAACAGTCAATATTAACAGTCGGCTTTACAGAATAAAACCCAAGATTTACTTAATGTCTCAAAAGTCAATAAAAAAGAACAACAAAATGATAAAACCCTGTACCAAGTCAATTAAATCCCTCAATCATGATCATTTAAAAACAACAAAAGACATACATAATTGATAAAAGATTATTGTTTTTAAAGAGAAATATATACATTGGAATTAGTGGTACATGTACATGATCCAGTTTGTAGAGGGGTAAGCATGGTATTTCTTCTACTTAATTCTTGGTTCTGAGATGTCGGTTTCAGAGTAAATATTTCATATCTAATATTTCATTTTGCATATGGTTGAGTACAATTTTTTGGTTGAAAATTACTCTTTTTAGTGTTAAAATTTCGGGACTATTATGGGAGGCGGCGCTAGTAAACCTGCAAAACAGAACACGAGTCCGGAGGAAGCAAAGCCTCGGGGGCCCACTGAAGGCGTGGGTGGGTCGTCCTCACGGAAAACGGCTGAACAAGGTCCACAATCTCTGGGACCCCCACAAGAGGAGGAGGCAGAGGAAAAGCTCGATATCCCTGACTACATTGACATCCTCCAAGAAAACACTGATGATGTGGTAAGTTCCGGTAAGGAAATATAGGGATGGATCAAAGTAGGTGGATCTTTTTCCAAGAGAAAGATCGATTGTTGAATAGATGCCATTTATCTACATATTTCAGTACCTAAAGTAAAAGTATTTAGAGTGAGCAATGGAGGGATACATGAAATATTTTTCTACCTTGTATGATGCATATCACGTTTCTCCAAATGTTCAAGTAATTTTTTCAATGATAGAAGATCTAATTTGATAAGACTTTGTTCTTTAATGTATCCCGTCATATTGGTATTTATTAAGATGATTATAATAAAAGGTAAGCGAGAACACAATTCGTAATTGGCGAATATATCCATTAAAATTATAATCAAGGTACCTGTATGCATGTTTATTTATACATGGATATATCAAGCTTACATTTTAATTAATTTTTTCTACGGAAATAATGCCAATATACTGGTACCTGTATTTTGACATCAGTATGAGACATGTTCATACACTTATTGATAGGTTTCTTTACTTTCTTAACGTAGGCCTAATATCATAATACTAGTATTAACATGTATAAATATTCATAAACATCGTCAGTAACTGATATAACCACAACAACAAAGTCCTTTTGTAAAAAATAAATCTAAAAATGTTTGCAAAGATGTTCCATAATATTTACTGATTATCTTTTTAAAATACCTTAAATTATATTCTTGTGGATTGTTTCAGATTGACATACCTGTTGTACAAGATGGTTATCCTCCTCCGAAACCGGCTTCAAACCGGAAGTCAGACATCTTAAGAGCAGCTGATATTGCCGAGGGAGATAAAAGAGCTAAAAAGGTGATTTATTTTAAAAATGTACCATGAAAGAAAGATTGTGGTAATCACCTTTTTTTCTTAGATACTGCCATTGATATATTCAATTTTAATTTTAATTTCGACTACATATCAGGGAAAACTTTCAGATTAAACCAGAAGATGCAACTACGTTTGAAGATCTCGCAGAATTGCTAACGAAAGGAATGTCACGTGACGTCCAACAAGTTCGCGCGATATTCTCCTGGGTCATCGGACAGAATGTTCAAGAAATAAAATTCCCTGAAAATATGATAATCAATTCCCCAATGCAGATCCTGAAACGCATGAAAGAAGGAAAATCATCATATACCACGATTTTCACCCTACTTTGTCGGTAAATGTGAAGCTTATTTTGATAAATTGATTTCAAGTGTAAATGCATTTGATTATTTATACGGAGCACTGTATTATTTTAATCATAGAGCAGCGAAAATTCCTTGTGCCATTATCCATGGGTTTGCTAAGAGTGCTGGATATGAAGTTGGCCAAACAGAACTGGAAAATCTCCGGAACATGTGGAATGCAGTTTACGTAAATGGCGGATGGCGTTTTGTCTTTCCCTTATGGGCGTGTAGGGTAGTGGTTGGACATAGCACAGGAAAATGGACTCTTGTGGAAGCAAAAGGTTTCTCTCTCTTAAAGAAAGGCGCTATTTTAAAATCTTGTTTGTAATGCCTATGAACCAAATGTAAGATATTTAATCGTAAATATTCTGAACATTGTGGAGATGTAGAGGTGAATGGTATGCGTAAGCTAATACTCTTGTTTTGAAGTCTTTATCGTTGTCAACCTACAGTTGTTTGACATGTATGTACTACTAAATTAGCTATTGTATTCTAAAGGTAAAGGAGTTCGGGAGAAGATGCCAGCGTCCACAGGAGAAAGTGTCAGTACACTTAATGACTACTACTTCCTGCCCGATGCAGAGGAGTTCGTATTCCGATGTTTTCCGGACAACCCCGAGTGGCAGCTACTGAGAAAACCTATCTCAAAAGATGAATTTGTAGAGATGCCATACTGCCGACCATCTTTCTTTGACTTTAAGGTAAAGATTGTAAGTAAACCCAAGTGTGTTCTGATTTCTGAGGACGGGCTGTGCAACATATGCTTAAAGAGTTCCATCATCGAAGACATAATGATGACGTATGAATTATTCTACAATGACGAAGAGTCGGGCTCCCCGATTTCCTCGGAAATTCAGTTAGACAAATACGTAGCTGTACTGAACCAGAATGGTAAAGTGGCTTTCAATATTCGATTTCCTAGTCCTGGAGTTTATAAAATTGACGTTCACGGGATTTTAAAAGGGGATGCTATGTCATGGTTGTGTTCATTCAAACTCATATGCAAAAATGCGAGGGTGGACATTAAACCTTTCCCATGTAATCCGGATGTTGGATTTGGTCCAAATTTTAAAACTGAACTCGCAGGACTGAAGGCTGAAACACACCATGATAGTTTTATAAGCTTTCATAGCAAACGGGAAACGGAAATAAAATTTACAATGACAAAATATGTGCAAGTACAAACTAAACTGGTTCACCACAATATGAAAAGTCACCAGTTGAAGGATTTTGTCTCCACGAGGGTGGTAGGGAACCAACTATGCATTGGACTGGCAATCCCACAGAAAGGGGAGTTTGGTTTACAGATTAACACGAAAGGGAAAGAAGACAGAGAATTTCAAAATGTTTGTAACTATTTACTGGAAGCGCAAGAAGGGGAAAGGAAACACCGAACCTACGAGGTATTCATTGTTATCAAATAAAAAGTTACTGATAGATAATCAGCTCCAGGAAGTTTACACCATTCATGTTATTTGCTCTCTCTCTCTCTCTCTCTCTCTCTCTCTCTCTCTCTCTCTGCGTATGTTTTATACTTTGGTTACAAATACTATGTTAGACCTAACATTTAAATGTAATATGGCAGACTGCGTCAGAGAAAAAAGCGAGGGCTGAACTAAAGGGGTCGCTGCAATCAAAAGATCCGATTGTTATCAAGCGTGCAATTGACCAATTTGCAAAGTTTGATCTGGACGATAAAGGGGAATTAAAGAAAGCCAAAGACAAGATTGAATTTCTCACGCTATCAAAAGGTTTGTTGGTTAGATATAGAAGGAAGTCACGAAATACATATAAAACGTTCGTTTCTCCCACTAATTTAACAGATATATTAGTTTTATGCGTGGTGCTTGTTCAATCCAATGTCATTTCAAAGTTTATCACCACTTGCACTATTTTCACAAATAATCTTAATCTAAAAGTAAAATAAGCAATAAAATGAACAAACACAAAAATTCTCTTTTCTTGAACAGTTATTTACTTTACAAATTTCTGTCTCCTAATAAAATTTATGAGGAAGAATTGTTCTGAGCTGAACGGGTACTTGTTCAGTCCTGTGCCATTTTTAGCTCTGATATTTGAAAATAAAGAACACAACACATGCAGATATTTAAAAACAAACAGAACACACAAACACAAAGATATCACGTTTTAAAAACATCATATATATATATATATATATATATATATATATATATATATATATATATATATATATATATATATATATATATATATATATAAGGATTTGTCTCTGAATATAACAGGATTAAGGGACAGCGTTAACAGAAGGAATGTTGAAGCTCTGGAAGAAAGTCTCCATCAGGCAAAATCTTCAAAATTCCAACACAAACTACAGTCCCTCATCCAGAAAGCCGAAGATGTGTTGATGGATCTACAGAAGACAAAGAAGTACGCCCACGAGATCCTTGAAATGAACCAGGTGACCATTACGGAATTGCGTAACTACCAGACTCCAAAACCCATCGTGCATGACGTGATGAAAGCCACGTTTACGTTACTAGGAGAGCGACAGGAAATGTTGGAGGTATCAGTTGATGGTTATAAAACAGAGGGTAGGGAGTGGGGAGTGATTTTTTTTAAAACAGGGGGTTGGTGGGGGTATATCTCTTGCTTTATTGAAATTGGGTTTTTCCATACTAATTACTGAACCTTTTATAATATATGGTAATCAAATGTGTATATTGAAGGATTGGAGAGATGTCCAGTATTTGATGAGAAGGACCGGAAAAGGGTCCCTGATGAACAGGATAAAGAAATTTGATAAGGTCCACGTCGAAGAGAACTGCGTTAATTTGGCTTCACAGTTTTTGAAGCCATATGATGAGGACATGGCACATGGAACCAGCGCCGGATGTGGAACATTTTATGTTTGGGTACTTATAAATGATAGCATTTCTGTATGATATTATCATGATCATAGTTTTCTTAAATTTAATTCGATTTTATTGTTAACCAACAACCACTGACTTACAACTTGAGAGGTTATTACCTTTATTGTAACTTTCAGGCAAACAACATAGTTTCTGATTTTACGAAAGCTGAACTTAATGATGCTCGGCATCAGGCACCTAGGAGTCGTACAAGACATCATTCAAACATAAATTCCTCCGCGGTGGGTCCCAAAAATGAGGAAGAGGATGAAGGCGTGGTTAGTGATCACGGACAGTCCGGTCAGTTCAGTGACGAAAATGTTGACCAATCAGGCGAAAATCAAATTCAAGAACTAGACGATGGGTATCAGTCGTGATGTGCTCAAATTAATAGTTATATACTAATAAGCCATTAAAATAGAGATGAGGTAATATGAATTATTAAAATGCAGAAGTATTTGTAAAAAATTTTTCAAGATTAGAAATAAAAGTAATAGCCACATTTGTGTTTGGTTTCGTTGATGCATTGATAGATTAAGAGAAGTGTTTAGAGTGTTTCTGGAGCACATTTTTGTGTGGATCTGACTTGAAATGGCATGACATGTATTTAAAATCCAATGAATGTGAACTGAAGAGGAGTAATGAAGGGATAGGCAATTAAACATAATATTGAGTATACCAGGAATACACACTCTTAAATACTCGTCTTGAGTCATGAATATTTATTTAATAAAAGTCCCTTTTCTAGTCAATCACTCGTTTCTTGGAATGTATGATTCAAACAAATATTACGTCAATGGATGGTTGGAAACCGTCCTTTCTCCTGCAATAAACATCACAGACCAGGTGAGAATTTCTTCTCTCGACAAAATTCATCCAACGAAATTTTGATATTGGAAGTTTTTTGAAACTATAATTAAAAAAGATTTTTCAGTGTCTAGATGGAGCCTTCTCGATATTTAAACCAATTCTTCTTAAACAGTTCTTCTCCACGACAAGAGGATAGGCGGTGAAAACGAGACATTTGATTCAGTCCTGAACAAGCAAACAATTTTTTCCCTTCAATTTTGACAAATCAATCCTTGTTAAAGAATTGTTCGCATTAAGGATAAAGCCACATGGGTTGCGGAGGATCAACGTCTACAAATTTAAAAGGAAAGGGGGTTGACGAAAAGGAGGATGACTATTTGAGAGAACCAGAAATTGACTCGGTAATTTCCGTAATTAAAAATTTGTATGTGTTTGCAAAAGTGTAGCGATTAACTTATATCAATGATTTAAAAATGTAATGTTCTTAGACCAAATTGTTGATGTCTCAGTCATGTTTTGGGTTATTGATAAAATGGGTGCATGAAAGCAGTCTGGAATCAAAGGAGTATACGTGTATTCCTTTCGAAGGAAGTCATCGGGATAGTTATACTCGGGTGTTTATTATTCCTCAATTTTCAATGCAAGAAACGGTACTAAACGTGCAAAACGTAGTTGGAAGCCTCAAGAATAAACTTTTCCTAACATATTATGTTCTAATAAATGCTTCCTTAAGCAACAAATTAAATTTACCTCAAAAGAAAACAACTTTTCCTTTCCTATCAGAGATATAGAATATTTTTGAGGACTATTGAGAAAACGTTTTCATTAACTCCATATTTTGTAACTTTTTGTCTCTCTTTCCATCTACGTTTCTGTACATCTTACAGGTAGACTTAGAAGACATAGTAGTGGGGTACCCGCCACCAAAACCAAGTTCCAACAGAAAAGAACATATATTTACTGAACAAGATAAAAATACTGCTGATGCAAGGGCAAATCAGGTATTCTTTTTTATCTTCTAATCATAAAAACGCATGAAACAATTATCTCGCTTAATAAATTGTCAAGTTTAAAGAAGATATTTAACTATATAATGTTTAATTGAAGAAGAAGAGTGTGCATGTATAATCAGATCTTTAAAGTATTTTATATTATTTCTACTACGAACTAATGTTTAATTTTCAGAGGGGTGTCGGGAGGGTGAGAGGGAGGGTAGTTCCTTGCAGTCTTTGAGGTAGAGATGAGACACAGAGACATTGTATCCCCACCATTTTCATTAATTTAAAAACGTAAAAAAATCACATGAAAAGCTTTTTGAATAGAATATGTAGGCAAAAAGATAACATTTTAAAATCTTACTGGGATTATTTATCTGGCCTTGTATTCTAGATGTTGAAACTCCTAGTTAAATGGAATCTTTACTTATTGATGTCAGAATGTAAATAGATCACAAATAAATGTGGCAAATTTCTATGTAATTCTTAATATAGGTTTTATGCTAATGTTACTAAAATTATCAAACATATTAATATGATTTTTGTAGATATTTAAGAAATATGTATTATGTTCTCATTGTACATTTCTTTAACACAGTTACGGCGAATGTCCCCTTACTGGGTTTTCAGGGAACTTCGATACGAACAATTCTGAAATGTTAAAGAATATTATCTATTCATTTTTAAGCAAGAGTATACCATCTATTAGCACAGATTGTATATGTATAGTGAATCCATAGTAGTAAAAAAGATGTATTGATTAGGGATTTTTTTTTTAGCTTTTTAATTTTTACTTTGATTCAAATGTCTAGTATGTGAAGATTTAAAGTAAAATGACTATTATCACCCATGAAAGTTTTAGCTAGGAATAGATATTAAAATTCAAAAGATATTAAAGATGTTGCAATTTGTTTCTCTCCTTTATAAAATAATCACCAAAGGCAATTTTGCAGCAATTAAATATCCGTGTTCTAGGTCAAGAGCAGGTATACATGTAACTAACCTTATATCGATTGGTTTCGATGAAGAGTGGGACAATTTCACCTGTATTCCATAAATACTTTAAGTGTTATTTGTTCAGTGGTGTGTATGACAACTCTTGTTGTTTAGATAAATGTTGAAGATTATCAGACCCTTGATGACATAGCACGTGCACTGACGGAAGGATTAACAAATGACGTGCAAAAAGTGCGAGCTATCTTCACCTGGATTGGTTTACAAGGGTCAAAGAGAAACCAATCGAGTAAACACGGCAATAAAAGCCAAGATGTAACTTCACCCCAAACCATTGTACAACAAGTTATACAAAGAAAACTCTCATACAATTTCTTATTCATTAGCCTGTGTAGGTGAGTTATGAGAGATAGCAAGAAAGACTGTTAAAAATTGTATTTGTGTATATAAATAAGAAGTATACAAATGATACATGCATATATATGTATTTCATAAATTTCAATTTCCAATCAAGGGCTGCCAAAATTCCATCTGTACTTATACGTGGATTGGGGAAAAGTGTGTCCTATGAGGTTGGTGACAGAGATGTTGACAATCTGAACAACTCATGGACAGCAGTATTTGTAGCTGGAGGTTGGCACTTTGTGTTTCCACTTTGGGCTTTCTCAGTAGTAGTTGGTCACTCGAAGGGTACATGGACTCTGGTAGAAACCCAAGGTATAAAATTTTATGATAAGAAAGAAACAAAAGCGATTGTTTTCTACATTATACTGGATTAACTGTTTATCTTTATTAAAAATGAAATTTTACTCTCTTAAATTGATAAAAATCGTTCTATAGACATAATTAACGTAATGTGCATTTTGAAAGCAACCACTATAATATTGATTAAACGATTTAGGCAAAGGTGCAAGAGAAAAAGAAGAAAAATCATCAGGTCAAACAATCAGCCATATAAACGACTATTACTTCCTCACAGAGGCAGAAGAGTTTATCTATAGGTGTTATCCCAATGACTCAAAATGGCAACTTCTAACGCGGCCATTCACAAAACAGGACTTCATAGAAATTGCATATTGTAGACAAGCCTATTTTCAGAATCACTATAAAATTACAACCCCAACTAAATGTAGCTATGCATCTGCTGGTGGTGTATGCGATATTGGTATGAAGAGGTTAGACAAGAAGGAATGTTCTTATGCATATGAGTTGTACTTTAACCATGAAGTATCAAAGACAACTCTTTCATCTGAAATACAGCTAGACAGATATGTAGCCATATTTAATGAAAGATCCTCTATGAGGTTTCGTGTCCGGTTTCCCATTGAAGGTATATATAAGATGGAGATCTTTGATGACTACTCGCTTCTTTGTGCATTCAAACTTGAATGTAACGAAGATGTTAACTATGTAAAACCATTTCCTTGTAATCCAGAGTCTGGGTTTGGTCCAAACTCTCTAACAAAAGACGCAGGGCTCAAGGCACAGTCTCATAAGACTGGCTTCATCAATATCAAACAGACGAAGAATTTCACTATGAAATTTAACATTACAAAGAACGTGTTAGTGCAAACAATCTTGATACACAATAATATGGAACAAGAGACGCTGAAAAAACACGTGAACCATAAGATAAAAGGTCAGGAGCTGTACATTGATCTAAATTTGCCTCAAAAAGGAGAATATGCTCTTCAGATCAACACAAAGGACAAAGATTCCGGTGGTTCATTCAAGAATGTCTGTAACTACCTTTTGACCTCAGAAAACATGAACAAAAATCGGAGACCTTACGAGGTAGGTGGTTCTACGATCATTCTGGATATAGTTCGAAGAATATTGTATCATTATTTCCCAGCCATTATTCTTTATTCAAAGAATGCGATCGAAAAAAGAACTAGGAAGGCATTACAAGATAACACCTCTTCCTATAATATAAGTGCTCTCCAGAAGGCTCTTGATGACTTCGATAAGGTTGATCTGGAAGACAAAGGAGATCGCCAAAAGGCAGAAGAAAGATTGACATATCTGAGCCTGCGTAAAGGTACACAGATACTAAATTTGAAGCATTAGTAAATTTTAGCTACTGTTAGATTGTGATTGTTTAGAGTGTAGGCAGACAAACAGGGAAGTTAATATATTTTAAAGATTATTCAAAATAATTTTAAAATAATGCAAGTAAAAAAAAAAACCTATCAATCTATGAAAATTGGGAAATAAGTTAAATTTTAAAAGTAAAAATGTATATGTGTATGAAACAGAACTGAAAAATGCAATTGCAAGAAGGCATGGTGAGAAACTAGAAGAAGCAATAGAAAATGCGAAATCGTCCGAGTATGTGTCCAGTCTTAAGAAACTGATTGAAGAAGCAGATGATTTGTTATCACAGCTTCGAAGGCTGAAGAGATTTGCTCACGAGGTTCTGAAAATGCAACAACCAACTATATCTGAAATCCACAACTATAAACACCCAAAACCTATGGCTTATGATGTCATGAAAGCCACATACATCCTTCTAGGGGAGGAGGAAAGGCGTGTTGAGGTGAGTACAGTTGGCATTTATTCATAATTTTTTTTTAAACAAGATCTTACTCATGTAGATGTATAAGTTTATCTTATGGAATACATGTATTGTTTAAAAGGAATGGGAACAGATACAGGCGTTGATGCGTAAGACGGGAAAAGAAGGGCTGCTAAGGCGCGTGCGTCTGTTTGACACTGTCCAGGTGACCGAGAACATGGTAAATCACTCCTCTCAGATACTCCGACCATATGACGAAGAGAGGATACGAGCTTCCAGTGCGGGCCTCGGAACATTTTACAATTGGGTAACGAAGACTCTTGTTTTTCTATTTTCTCTATTAAGTGATTGTCGACTTTAAATGATCTCTTACTTGTTTTGGCAATGAATTTATACATGCACTTTATAATTTTACAATAATTTCAGGCGAGGAATGTTATTGAAGAAATAAGAAAATAAGAAAATTCGAGAGAGATCGAGAGGTCCAGGAAAATGTACCTAAAACAAAAATATAGTCATTAGCAAAGTCATTTACACCGTACCTACTTCAAATTATGCTAACAAGTGTATAGAATAACTACACCAAACACATACAGTTTAATCTTGTATTGCAATAAATGTCTACTGTAGAAGCACACATTTTCTTGGGGATAAAATTTCGTTCATTTGTCATCTAAAAGGGTTTCGTGGGCATTTAATTTCGTTGTTTCAAAAGGAACCATATTCAATATATAGTCAAATAAAAATTTCGTGTGGGATTTATTTTCGTTGATAACTCTTAACAACGAAATAAACGAAATTGAATCCCCCACGAATATTTCTTCTTTTACAGTATTTACCGTATTTTTATTGATAAAATGAAATTGTAGGAGCTAACGGTATACTGACAAAGACGACATATAGCGTAGATTTGGATACGTGAAAGCTTGACATAATGTTATTGCCAGGAACAATATAAAATAAGTAAGGCTGATAACACATACACGGGTTATCTTTCTTTGTGATCTTTAATGTATTGAAAATAACAATTATCAATAAATATTAGTACAAAGTTATGCTTAAACACAACAATAAACACATGTCAAAATTAAACATCAACAAACTTCCTTGTCAAACTGATATGAAGAATTGATTATGTACAGTTATATAATAAAGACAGCAAACTGATCAGGTAGAAGAGATTAAACTAAACCATCTATTGATCAAGGTTTTGTCTTTTCATTTGTATGACAAGCTTTTTAATAAACTTTAATAAATTATTAGATTTATTTATTTCAATGCTTGAGACATAGTTATTGTTTTCTTTTTTTGAATTTTTCTTCGGATGAGACAGTATAATGGTTGAAATATTGCCGAATCGGCGTTAAACAATAAACATTCAGTCTAAGCTTCAGAGAAGTATTGTTTACTGGAATCATTTATCATAATCAAGATCGTTTTGATAAAATGAGCAAGCCCTGATGATATGTATAACACTACCACAAATCCATGAGGTTTATCAATCCTTTGAGAACCACACTTGGTCGCTAAATGATATTTGTATTGACTACTTTTACTTTATTCAAATTCAAATTAGAACGTAAAAAAAAAAACAATGCAATAACAATATATAGGGTTATTGAACTTATATTGGTGAATATTGGCACGAGTTGGCTGTACAATCACACGATCTTCAATCACCCTATATTATTTGGCATTAACATTTCCCATTGATAGATATTTATTATTTTAATTAAATAACCCAAAATTAATGAGGATTTTTCAATATAGGTATTCAAATTAAAACTTTCTAATATCAACTTCTTCCTTGTAAGTGTTCAATGTCACAACATTTCAAAGACCCTACCAAGCGTTATGATTTACTAATTGAGGTTTTTATTGAGATTAATAGGTAATAAATTATTAACTAATAATTTCAATTTTGAAAAAAAAAAAAAAAAAAAAAAAAAAAGAAACATTTTACCTAGCATGCTATTAATTTGCATTAATATTGTCGTTGAACGATTTACCAGAAGACTTTTTTTGTTTTACAACGGGGCGTTCGATATTGAAATGTTGAAATGATATTTTTAATGCTAACAAGGACTCAAGGAGAAACTGCTCTACACAGCACAACACAAAAACTAAAGCGAGTCACCAGCGTGGCGCAGTGGTTAGAGCGTTTGCTATAGAGTTGCAGAGTAAGGAGTTAATCCTTACGTCGCGTATTCGAATCCCACTGGACGTGGAGACAAGTCCTTCGAATGAGGCCATACAAATATGGTCCCGTGTTTCAATAGGTGCAGGAGCGAGAGAAAAAATTCCTCACTGCTCAATGGCCATGAGTGCAGAGCATACAGCCCCGCGCACTTTTTAAGCTCAAATGGTTTTTCGCAAAAATTAAGGTCACATATTACAATAATAATAATTCACATTATCGAACAAAAGTACGACAAATGAACCCTGAGATACATTTGATATCTTATGTCAAGGGTATACGCCCTTAAAAATATTATCGTAAGTATTCAAAGTCGCTGTTGTAAAGGCCGGTGAGTTTATCAATAAATGGTGCGATGTAACAAATTTGATGATTCTGCCATAGGTATTTAAAGATAAAATCAATCGGGCTTTCTTTGATACTATTTGGTTGCATTTTTTAAACTTACATCTTGAAGATAATATTCTTCTAAGTACTTCGATAATTTATCATACTCGTCTCGATTTTATCGAAATGTAGTGCCGAAAAGGGACATAACTGGAGGTGGAAACCATGTCAAAAGGTAATATAATATAACATCGCCTATCTTTAAAATATGATAAATTGTTATGATTGAAAAAAAAACTTTTATATTTAAGGTGTAATGTCCCTCTGGTAAGAGAGATAACTTTACAAGGAAATTATTTCAAGCAATGTAATGAATTTCCTTACAAGAGTTTAATAATGAGGACCATTATATAGTCAACTCATTCGAATCTGAAGTAAGTTACAAATATTGGTTTCTATTTTCTATTGCCAATATTTTTGTTAATTACTTTTAATAGTTTCCCTAAAACATTTATACTCAGATCCTTTAAACTGTTGAAATTGAAATATTTTTATCTCTTCACATATAATTCTTTAAATTGTTATATAAATTTCAGATGCAGAATTTTTTTTATAATCAATTAATGAATATTTTTTCACTAAAAATATTTTGAATAACGATAACTTCTGCAGATGGAATTTTATTTTACAAGCACAGAAAACAATGTGATATTCTGATTCAAAAAGCAACGCTTCATTATGTTTTCTAATGTGAATTAGATAGGAATGATAGTAAATACTATTTTCATATATACCTCAAATTTTTAATGTTATGTTGAGATCTATTCACCATATCAAATTTTCTTCATATCATGATTAGACATAATATTCATTTTTGAAAAAGTAAGCAATGCTTCATGCTTCAAACTATTTTCCATTTGAATCTAATGCTATTGTTGTTGATGAAAATCAATGTTGGGAATTTAAAAAAAAAAATGGTGAAATTCGTAGCAGAGGTATATTTCACCTTAAGAATTGAAACTTTGTAATTTTGCAGTAGGACGGTGCTTTCTTGAAGCTGAATTTCAGATACTTACTTTGAAAAAAATGCCATTTTTTGTTTTTTGGGGGGTTTTTTTGTTTGTTTTTGTTTATTTATTTTGTTTTAACATTGATAGCAGTCAAACAGATTAGAAATACTGTGTTATCAACTTGCGCTTCTTGCTGAGTCATGTAAATGTACATAAAATAGAAGCTACAGTTACTGTGTCTAGACAAGAAAATAACGGGTCATACATAGTCAAAAGAGAATCTTCAAGAATTGAGCATTACAAGAAAGGCGAATCAGTTCGAGAGTTGAAGATGGAAAGGATTGTAAAATGAAACATGATATCCCTAATTAAGTAAAACAGCAATTTTATTTTTTACAAAAAATATATAATGGACAAAACTGAAGAGCTTCGCTCTAGCAAAAAGCTATTTCTTTCATATGAACGGATACACAGACGGCTGCTTTGGGCAAGAAACCACAAAACGATTGGGAATACCGGGGTAGTTATATTTCCAGCCAAGAGTACATCCAAGTCCTACCAAATATTATTTGTGAATTTTGTTATTTATTAGTGACATAAAGAGAAAATAAGATAAGAAAAATAACCTTTAAGTATATTTTGTTGTCTCGTTACATAATTAATATCACATTGTAACAATGTGACTTTAATTTGTGCAAAAAACCACGTGAGCTTAAAAAGTTCGCAAAGCTGTAGGTCTAACATTTGCAGCCCTCCACCGGCGAGTGATGGCATCTCAATATGAGTGAAAAATTCTCGAAAGGGGAGTTAAACAAATCAAAACTAAAGCGCTATCAGCCCCTTCAGAAAGACGTATGATTTCTTAATGGCATCCGTGAAGGTGAATGAAAATGCTAATTTGAGATAAAATGTTTTTATTGTTGGCAATATAAAAATTATTATTATTATTTTTATTTAAGTAATGTCTTTATGAATGAAACGTTTAAAATGTTTCTTATTTTGTAAAACTATATATACATGTATATTAAATAATTCTTAAATTCATGGGTTTTCCATGTTTTAAGGATCCGTTTTTCCTCTAATGTCAATTTTTAATGGTTAATTGACACATAATTACTGAATGTTTTCATCAAATCATTTGGGAAAATGTAAAATGTCGATCCTACTAGCTATAGAGTACAACACCATGGTAAATAAAGCGAAGAGTAAGTGAGAAAATCGTCTAAGAAGCATTACAGGTCGTTGAGACCCGGAAAGTCTGTTACCTCGTCTTTAATCATTCAATATTAATCCTTATTCTCATCCAATTAAAACAAATATTACGATACTGGATAGCTGGAAACCGATACTTCTCCTGAAATTTACATCACAGTCAAGGTAAGAAACGTTCTTCTAAAAACATCTACATACTGGATATTTCTTAAAACTGTAAACAGATTTCCGCACATCTATATGGAACCTCCCTTTATGGATATTGAGACAAATTATATTTCAAATAAACAATTTCAAATGACAAGAGGGTAGGCGATGATAAAGAGTTATTTCGTTCAGTCCAAGACAAGTAAAACGTTACTACCTGTTTAATTTTGAAAACGTTACCCTAAAAATGTTACTCCCCGGTCAGTTTTGTACTTTAGCTGAATAAAAACACCAATGAAACAAAAACATTAAAAATAAATGTCAATATGTGATGTTAAATTACTGAAAAACGGTGGTAGATTGTGCTATATTAGACATTAATAACCGAGCAGCAGATTTATATAAGATAATTATTACTGCAGACTGTATTTAACTTTCAAAGGGAATTGGAAGAGACTGGAGGTAATTCGCATTGATGAGATAGAAATGCCTCAGAAAATTGTTCTCCCATCCTTTTCATGAACATCAAAATCCCAGCATGAAGTTTAAAATGTAAAATGGCCATTATCACGTCTGAAAGAAATATTTTAGAGATTTTATTTAAGAAAGGTATTCTCTTCCGTTATTATTATTATTATTTAGTCATTATAGACAAATACAGTTGCAGCATTTAGAATAAGAAAATTGAACTTTCTTGATCTTTTTGGATGGCATTTTTTCAGTAGTGACGTTAATCTCTCTATATTTGTATCACTGAAAACTAGCACATTGTTATTTACTAGAATTTGATTTTTCTCTGGCGTTTATTTTCAAGAAAGTTTATATCACAGTTCATTTGTTAGAATAAAATTGAAGTTTATCAGACCATGGACGATTTAGCACATGCTCTGACAGACGGATTAACCAATGACGTGCAAAAGGTGCGCGCAGTCTTTACCTGGAGTTGGATCGGTAAAAAAGACAACAGGGGGTCGTAACATAAAAGATACTTAAGGTAGTATGGGATACCTCCACGTTATGACGTATTTCCGTTTGAAGTATTGTTTTGATTTGCAGGAGTGCTTATTATCGGGTCAAAATTTGTAGATACACCGTTGAAAAGAACACTCTGAAGCCTATTTCAATGCAAGTTCTCACAAGTCGGCATTTTAAGTAAAAACAGACAAAAAATCTCAAGTATATAAATTTACTTATAATTGTACAACGGACATTTAAAAAAGCAAACCCCTGTAAAAGGTAGTTTCAACATTGCTGCTTTTGAACACTTTTAAGCAAAAGCTGTATTTCAATTGTTTGAGTAACTGTACAGCACCTTGTGTGCGGTGAGGCATGGATAAGTGCGATTACTTCACATTGTGCTGAATTATCACCAATCAATTATCACGTTAACCAGAGCTGGACTTTTTTGTTATTTAATTCAAGAAGTAACTGTTTGGTCACAAATCAGCTACCTGTTGTATATAGTCCCAAAACGTTCAGATGAATGCAATTGCTCTGAACAAGACACGTCCTGGAAAGCGATTGTCCATGCATTGTTTTCAAAACCGCTCAAAGTTGAAAACTACAAAGTGCGATTTTTTTATGGTTGGGAAAAAATGCTCATCATTTCTAAAATAGCACCCAGGTTTTTTCAACCCTTGGAAAATAAAGAAGGATAACTCTTCCGCTCGGATCTTTTAATTCAAAAAATTTTTAATGCATTTTATATTTTCCATTTATATATATATTTTCAATTTGTTTATTTCACTTTGCTAACATATTAAGATACATTCTTATTGTAGACTTTCATGAAATGTTATCCGTCTGTTTTCAAGAAATAAAGTTTTCCCAGTTTTTTACGCTTATTTTTTGTTGAAAATTAAAAAAATACTAAGACATATTTCTTGTCATTTTTGTTTTTATAAACACTTTATATTAGCAAACGCCTGTCTATAATATTAAGCTTATGAAAAAAGAATTATGCAAGAAAAAAAATCGTTTTTGTATTTCTCATTAAAATAATAAAAAAATTATTAAAATTACACTTTAATATACTGAAAGGTGGGGGTATTTCAAATCCTTCTAATTTGGGTACATAAATATGTAGGAGAAGTTTCGTTTGGTATCCCATACCACCTTAAGTCTAAGACCATACTTCAGTAAGACATAAGTACGTTTTTTGACTTAAGTCCGTATCATAAAGGATGCTAAGAATTACAAATCTTAGCAAAACTTAGGCGATCAACATAGGTGACTTAAGTAGGTTTTAGACATAACATTAACACATCATACAGAAAACTGTTAAAATAACTATAAACAATCAGTACGTATTTCATTTGCTACTACTTAATAAGATACACTAATACCTCTTCAAGTGAGTAAAGAGTCATTATGTCCTGTTTATACAAGTATATAGCAATATAAACATGTTCATTAAGCAAAAACACATATGTACATGTATGTACATATTATAATTATAAATCGAGGACAGGTAAAGTTGATAAACACACTTAGAAACTGTGAGTAGTACTCAGAGGTCTGTGAATAAAGACATTTAAACACTATTCACAATAGATGTTAAAAGTAAAGTTTGAATACACAATTATTGCACGAATGGCGGCGGCTTATATATTTCTACAAAGTGGGAGGAAAAAAAGAAGTTTTAAGACCAGAGAAAATCTACATGATTATGATGACCAATCTTTGATAGAAAGGTATCGTTTAGACAGACATCTAATTGAAAATTTGTGTGAATTGGTCAGAGATGACTTGGAAAGACCAACGAAGAGAAATGAAGCTATCAGTGTTTCGTCACAGGTATTGACTGCATTGAGATTTTACGCTACAGGTAGTTTTTTCAGCGTTTTGGGCGATTCCCAGGGGATGTCGAGAATGACCGTTTCTCGAATATTTGATGATGTGTCATGTAGCATCAATAAACATGCGGGTGATTTTATCAAGTTTCCTTCTGTTAATGCAGATAAAATCTATGTTATGCAAAAATACTATCAACTGTCTAAATTTCCCAATGTTTTGGGATGTATTGATGGAACACACATCCCTATAAGATCACCTAGTAAGGATGAACATTTGTATGTAAATAGAAAATGTTTTCACTCAATAAATGTTCAGGGGGTGTGCGACGCCGATCTGAAATTTACAAACATCGTCGCAAAGTGGCCAGGGAGCAGTCATGACTCATTCATATGGACAGACAGTGCTCTTTCAACAAAGTTTGAATCCGGTATGTAATAATATACATGTACTCTATTCCTGATAAAAACAAAATGTACTAGAGCGTATTGCCTCGTGTATTATATATATATATATATATATATATATATATATATATATATATATATATATATATATATATATATATATATATATATAAAATGAAACACTTTTATATGAAAAGCACCATTAATTATTATTTATAAAATTGAATGTATTTTTGATAAAAGTTTTATGAATATTTCATTCTTGTTTAATATTGAAGAAGGGATTGTGTTAGAGAATTTAATAAAATTTAATTTAAAATGTCATTCTTTGAAGAAAAGAAACACACACACTTTATGAATAGTATTATGCAGGGACATAGTATCGTTTATCATTTTTTAAAATGTGGGCGCAAAATCTCTATTTCAAGGAGGATGGTGGTGTTGGGTTCCAACTTTTTCAACCCAATATTTTTCTAAAACATTAAGAAATTACCATGACTAAGGTATGATACAATAAAAAAGTAAAATGTTCTGTTTGAAAAGAAAGTGTGTGTGTGTGTGGGGGGGTCCTCATGCCCCCCCCCCCCAATACTACGTGCCTACTTTTTATACGTTATTTAACATTTCACTCACAACATGATATATATTTTATAATGTTAATAGCGGTATGAATATTTTATATAGGTGAAATTAGCGAGGGATGGCTCTTGGGTGATTCAGCATATCCACTTAGACCATTGAATGATGACCCCATATTTACAGCCTTCTACTCCCTCGGAGCATCGCTATAATGCTTATCACATGAAAGCAAGAAACTCTGTTGAAAGATGTTTCGGCGTGTGGAAGGGTCGTTTTCGCTGTCTGGATAAAACTGGAGGTCCTCTGTTATTTCATCCTTCGAAAGCATGCAAGGTATAAACCAATAGTTTTATGGAAATATGAAATGTATACTTTTAAAATCCAATTTTATGATTTGACAAAATCTTCAAATTTTAGGTGATAGTAGCGACAGCGGTTTTGCACAACATGTGCATCAATCACAGAATAGAGTTGCCTGAGTCCGAAGTACTTCATCCACAGGATAATGATGACCTATGCTATAATGGTGCAATGAATGACAGAAGAAGAACAAGGGAAAGCGTTGCCTTAAGATTTATTTAATTTTATGACATAAAATCCGTAAAGCCTGCAGGTACAATATAGTACTTAAGCACTTTTTGAGAGTCACACACCATAAACCCCCTGGAATGCCTCTCTACCTCCAGATCAAATCTTCTCTGTTCCAGATCTAGTCTTCTTTCTTCTAATTCCAGCCTTTTTTTTCTCTACCTATTAAAGTATAAGTAAAAAACATATGACAATAATAACTTGTATATTGTACTTGCTTTTATAATTGTACTCGTGGAAAATAATATTCATTCAGAAAAAAAGAATTATACAGTACTGATATTTTCATCAAATGTACCTCTAATCTCTCCCTTTCTATTTCCACTAGGTCGTGTGCCTCATCATTTCCTGAAGATCTTTTCCGTTTCCTGGAAGTGTTCTTTGACGTGGATTCTATCACACTCTCTTGTTGGTCGCTGAATGGAAACAATGTAAATTAAAGACACTTATGATATTTGTTTGGGAATAAAAGTATATTGTGTCATGGTGAAAATTCATTTATCTTATAAATTTAAAAACACATTGATTATTACCTATCAGCAACAAAAGTTTCCTGAAGACTTGTATTGGAGGAAGATGGGCCAGCTGTATCTATTCCTCCAGGAATTCCTTCTGTTGCTGTCTGTCCCATTGTCTCCAATACTCTTACGTCTGTCGCACTCGGTTCCACTGCTGAAGATGGCCCTCCTCCTGTTTTGGTAGCCTCCTTCCTCGCATACGATAACCTTTTCTTTGAGTCGCTGGAAACATTCCTCCATTTTTTCTTAACATCTTCGGCCGTTCGCATCACTCCACTTACCGAGCTTACCTTCATTTTAAAGATTTAAAAAAAAAATAACTTCCTAAATTATGATGTAAGAATATGTATATAAACATAAAATATAATTCTTAAATTAAAAAAAGATATATATATATATATATATATATATATATATATATATATATATATATATATATATATATATATATATATATATATATATATATATATATATATATATATATATATATATATATATATTTCACATGTATTTTGCTACAAAATGTTTGGAAAACTATACGGCATTCAAAACACCATATTATGCATATAACTGAATTTTCCGTAATCAGCGTTAATAGAGAGAGAGAGAGAGAGAGAGAGAGAGATTTACCTTTGATACCACACTGGCCCATGCTCTTTGTTTTGATGCGTTTGTAGAAGTGTTGTTAAACGAAGAATTAAGCACTTCTTTATGATTCTGAAATTCTTCTATCAAAGTTTCGATTTTCAGACTGGAAAAATTTGGTTTTCGAGCCATTATCTTCCGTAAACGAGAAGCAAATCCCAGTGAAAAAGACCGTGGCAGATTTGTCCCTTGGGACAATTGTGACAATAGCCAGGCGTGATTCAAGACATAAAAATATTCAGTCTGTGAGTACATATCACACTCACATGTAATAACCAACGCTACTTGATGTACTTTCATACTGTGTAATTTTTTAATTCAATACATAAGAATGACTTAGCTAAGACCTTGCTTAGTTCGCTTTATGTTACGGTATAAGACATACTTAAGTAGTACTTAGACAGGTCCTAAAAATGTGCTTAACACTTACTTAAGACCCTACTTAAGTCAAAAACTTAGCATGCTTTATGTTACGACCCCCAGAAACTAAGATGTCAATTCGCCCACCATCATTGTACATTAAGTTGCACAAAGAAATCTCTCGTACAATTTCTTATTTTAAGCCTCTGTAGGTGAGTTTAATTAGATCACATAATTTATAATAGAAAACTTACGATGTACATGTGAATGATAAAAGTGCGAAGCGGTTTATAAAAAAAGCGTAAACTGTTTCAACCCACTTTATACCTTATAAATTGGGTAGCTATTAATTTCATTCCTTATAATTTAATTTTGATTCATTTAGTGTAAGAAAAACGCTGATTGCCCTTAAAAATGACTTCAATTTGTACAAAATTTAAAAGTAACGTCAAGCGGATCGATACGTTTTTGACGCAAGTCATTGTGACGTAGGCAACCCAATTTATACGATATAAAGTAAAAAATTTTATCCAATCAAATACGGCGTTATAACCAGGATTAAATTATTATTGTTTCAATTTCAAGTACATAGACGTTCGAATGACAATTTGAAAGGAAGTGAACATTTGTCAAAACAAAAGAATAACAGCAAAAGGGAAACTGAAAACATCCCAGTCTCGAGTGATAAACAATGTTCACGCATTTACAATGAATCACTATTGCCACTATATGACCGTGCGATATTTGTTTTCAAATATTCAGAATAAACAGAATTATATACTTTTGATACGAAATCTAATCTAATCTAGCTAAAACCATTAGGTAAGGACTTCAACTTTATTATATGTGTAATTAAAAACGTTACTAAATCATTTTTACAAATATATGTACATTGTATAAGTGAAAAAAAAATATTTTGAACATAAGTTTGACTTAACTAATTAAGACCTAGCTAAGTCCACTTTTTGTTACGGTTAACGACATACTTAAGTAGTACTTAGGCAGGTCCTAAGATTGCACCTAAAACATAATTATGACCTTACTTAAGTCAAAAACTAAGCAAGCTTTATGTCACGACCCCCAGGACCCTAAGTCTTCGTCACCATTTATGAAATAAAAATCAAAAGTTTTTCATTCATCAGTCCATTAGGTGGACTTTTGTATTTCATGGTTTCATTTTGTAATCTTTAACAAATTATTATCGACCGAAGCAGCGCCCGATCTATTTGTGATTGTGTTGGAATGTGCACATAGTAATTGAGAAGTTATTTTTTTATTGCTTTGAGTGAAAAATTATTTATTAATAACATACACAAAAGTTACAAATATAAGTTTTAAAAATGTGTTTAATATGAAGTCTGAATGGTTGTTATAATGTTTCAATTTGTTTTTCATTCACCATTAACTATTAATTAATTCATGATTTTATAAAAAGTTGTTACTCGATCTGCTCCCCAAAATGGGAGTGCGTTATATATATATATATATCTATATATATATATATATATATATATATATATATATATATATATATATATATATATATATATATATATATATATATATATATATATAAAACGTATAAGGTTTCCGGATATGAATTACAGTAACTAAAATAATTGAATAAATTATAAGAAGTTTAAGAAGTAGTGAATTTGTTTTGATACTTTTATACCTTTTCTTGGTGAATTTTTAGAAATATGAATCCATTAATGTATGTATCACTAATAAAGTTTTGATATACTTGTATTTTCATTATAAATTGCTGAATACTTCACAAGGTTTCTCTCAATTGGTAAAATTGAGAGTTTCGACCCTTGCAGGATAATTACAGTATGGTAAATGACGCAAAGTAGTAAGTGAGGAAAAATGGCAACATGATGCGGTTTGGTGAGCTCCTAATCTTATCTTTAATCATATTTCCAATACACCTTTGATTAGGTAATGATATATTGCACTCATTACGCGATCCATAAATGCGTATTTAAAATCCAGTGAATGCGTATTGAGGAGAAAAATTGAAGAGACAGGCAATTAAACATTAAACTGAAAACCCCAGGAATACACACGCTTAAATACTCGTCTTGAGTCATGAATATTTATTTAATAATAGTCCTTTTTCTCGTCGATAATCATTCGGTTCTTGTGCTGCATGATTCAAACAAATATTATGTCAATGGATGGTTGGATACCGTCCCTTCTCCTGCAAAAAACATCACAGACCAGGTGAGATTTTTTTTTCTCTTGACAAAATTCATCTAACGAAATCTTGATATTAGAAGTTTTTGGAAACTATAATTAAAATAGATTTCTCAGTCTCTAGATGGAGCCCTCTCGATATTTAAACCAATTCTTTTTTAAGTAAACAATTCTTCTCCACGACAAGAGGGTAGGCGGTGAAAACGAGACATTTGATTCAGTCCTGGACAAGCAAACAGTTTTTCTCTTCAATTCTGACAACTCAGTCCTTGTTAAAGTTTATTTTTATGAAGAATTGCTCGCATTAAGGATAAAGCCTCATGGGGTGTGGAGGATCAACGTCTACAAAAACCGATGATGGTCATGAAAAACCCGGGGGAAGGGATAGTCATGAGAAGCCAAAAGGAAAGGGGGTCGACAGTAAACCTAAGGAAAAGGAGGAGGACTATTTGAGAGAACCAGAAAATGACTCGGTAATTTCCTTAATTAAAAACTTGTACGTGTTTGCAAATGCATAACAGTTGAAGTACCTAATATCAATGATTTAATAAATGTAATGTTCTTAGGCCAAATTATTGACGATTCAGACATGTTGTGGGTTATTTATTAGATGGGTGCATGCATATGAAAGCAGTCTGGAATCAAAAGAGTACGCCTATTTCTTTCAAAGGAAGTCTTCGGGATAGTAATACTCGGTGTTCATTGTTACTTAATTTTTAATGCAAGAAATGGTACTAAACGTGCAAAACATAGTCGGAAGCCTCAAGAATGAACTTTTCCTAACACATTATGTGCTAATTAATGCTTCTTAAAACAACAAATAAAATTTACCTCAAAGGAAATCAACTTTTCCTTTCCCATCAGAGATGTAGAAAAAATTTTTTGGGCTATTAATTTCATTTACTCCATATTTTGCAACTACCACGTCTCGCTTTCCATCTTGTTTTGTAAATCTTACAGGTAGATTTAGAGGACATAGTAGTGGGGTACCCGCCACCAAAACCAAGTTCTAACAGAAAAGAACATATATTTACAGAACAAGATAAAAATACTGCGGATGAAAGAGCAAATCAGGTATTTTTGATCTTCTAGTAAAAAGAATGCATAAAATAATTACCTTGGTTTAAAAAATTGTCAAATTTGAAGAAAAAATATATGTTACTACAATATACATATAATGTTTAATTGAGGAAGAAGAATGTGTACAATCAGATCTTTAAAGTATTATACATTATTTATGCTACCAACTTAAATTTCAGAGGGGTGTAGGGAGGGTGAGAGGGAAGATAGGTCCTCGCAGTCTTTGAGGTAGAGATGAGTCACATATAGACATTATATCCCCACCATTTTCAGTGATTTGAAAATTTCATATAAATTGCATGAAAAGCTATTTGGATAGAAAGTATCAGCGAAATGATAATCTTTTCAAATAATACTGGGATTATAAATCTAGCCTTGTATTCCAGATGTTGGAAATCCTGGTTGATTGAAATCTTTACTTATTGATGTCAGATATGTAAATAGAACAGAAGTAAATGTGATAAATTTCAATGTAAATGTTAGTAAAGGTTTTATGTTTTTTTTACCAACTTATCACATATTTCAATCTGATTTTCGTACCTAATTAAGAAGAATGTGTTATTTCACTGTACATTTCTTAAACACCATATACGGCGCATGTTCCCTTCCCGGGTTTTCAGTGAACTTCGATATGAACAATTCTGAAATGTTAAAGAAATATTATTTATTCATTTTCAAGCTAGATAGAATACTAACTAGTAGTGCAGATTGTATATAAATAGTGAATCCATTTTGGTAGAAACACGTATTGATTAGCTTTTCATTGTACTTTGATTTAAATGTCTAAGTGAAGATTTAAAGTAAAATGGTTATTTTCACCCCTGAAAGTTTTATCTAAGAATAGATATTAAAATTTAAAAAAATAAAAGATGTTGCAATTTATTTCTCTCCTTTATAAAATAATATAAAACCAAAAGGCAATTTTGCAGCAATTAAACATCAATGTTCCTTCTACAGATCAAGAGCAGGTATAACTAACCTTATATCGATTGGTTTCGATGAAGAGTGGGACAATGTTATCTGTATTCCAAAAATACGTTAAGTGTTATTTGTTCAGCGGTGTGTATGACAACTCTTGTTATTTAGATAAAAGTTGAGGATTATCAGACCCTTGATGACATAGCACGTGCTCTGACGGAAGGATTAACAAATGACGTGCAAAAAGTGCGAGCAATCTTCACCTGGATTGGTTTACAAGGGTCAAAAGGAAACAAATCGAGTAAAAACGACAATAAAAGCCAAGATGTAACTTCACCCAAAACCATTATACAACAAGTTATACAAAGAAAACTCTCGTTCAATTTCTTATTTATTAGCCTATGTAGGTGAGTTAGAGATCGCAAGAAAGACCATTAAAAATTGTACTTGCAAATATAACTTAAAGGTACACAAGTGATATATATGTTCTAAAATACAATTTCAAATCAAGGGCTGCCAAAATTCCGTCTGTACTTATACGTGGACTTGGGAAGAGCGTGTCCTACGAGGTAGGTGACAAAAATGTTGACAATCTGAACAACTCATGGACAGCAGTATTTGTAGCTGGAGGGTGGCACTTTGTGTTTCCACTTTGGGCTTTCTCAGCAGTGGTTGGTCACTCAAAGGGTACATGGACTCTAGTAGAAACCCAAGGTATAAAACGTAATGATAGAAAAAGTAGAAAAAAGAGAGATTATTTGTATGTTATACTGATTAAACTGTTTATTTTTATTTAAAATAAATGAAATTTTACTCTCTTTAGTGAAAAAAAGTCGTTCTATTAGACATATTGAACGTAATATGCATTTTGAAAGCAACCACTTTATTTGTTAAATAATTCAGGAAAAGGTGCAAGAGATAAAGAAGAAAAATCATCAGGTCAAACAATCAGCCATATAAACGACTATTTCTTCTTCACGGAGGCAGAAGAGTTCATCTATATATGTTTTCCCCTTGACTCAAAATGGCAGTTGCTTACAAAGCCATTTACCAAACAGGACTTTATAGATATCGCATATTGTACACAAAACTATTTTGAGAATCACCATAAAATTACAACACCGACTAAATGTATCTATGCGTCTGTTGGTGGTGTATGCGATATTGGGATAAAAAATTTAGACAAGGAGGAATGTTCTTACGTATACAAGCTGTATTTTAATCACGAGGAATCAAAGACAACCCTGTCTTCAGAAATACAGCTTGAGAGATACGTTGCCGTATTCAATGAAGGGCCTTCTATGAGGTTTCGTGTTCGGTTTCCCAGTGAAGGTATTTATAAGATGGAGATCTATGGTGACTATTCGCTTTTGTGTGAATTTAAACTTGAATGTAACGAGGATGTAAACGATGTAAAACCATTTCCCTGTAATCCAGAGTCTGGATTTGGTCCCAATTCTCTAACAGAAGAAGCAGGGCTCCAAGCACAGTCTCATAAGACTGGATTCATCAATATCAAACAGACGAAGAATTTCAGTATGAAATTTAACATTACAAAGAATGTGTTAGTGCAAACAATTTTGTTACACAATAATATGGAACAACAGACGCTGAAAAAACACGTGAATCATAAGATAAAAGGTCAGGAGCTGGATATCAATGTGAATTTGCCTCAAAAAGGAGAATATGCTCTTCAGATCAACACAAAGGACAAAGATTCTGGTGGTTCATTTAAGAATGCCTGTAACTACCTTTTGACCTCAGAAAACATGAACAAAAAACGGAGGCCTTACGAGGTAGGGGTTTTTACTTTCATTTTAAACATAGATTGAAGAATATTGTATCATCATTTCCAAACCATTATTTGTTTTACAGAATGCGATCGAAAAAAGAACTAGGAAGGCATTACAAGATACCACATCTTCCAATGATATAAGTGCTCTCCAAAAGGCTCTTGATGAGTTCGATAAGATTGATCTGGAAGACAAAGGAGATCGCCAAAAGGCAGAAGAAAGATTGACATATTTGAGCCTGCGTAAAGGTACACAAATACTAAATTTGTAGCATTAGTACATTTTAGCTACTGTTACATTGTGATTGTTCAGTGTGTAGGCAGACAAACAGGGAAGTTAATATATTTTGACAAATTATTCAAAATGATTTTATAATAGTGCTAGTATATAAAAAAACTATCAATCTATGAAAATTGGGAATTAAGATTAAAACGTATATGTGCATGTTTCACATCACTAGAACTGAAAGACGCAATTGCAAGAAGGCATGGCGAGAAACTAGAAGAAGCAATAGAAAATGCGAAATCGTCCGAGTATGTGTCCGATCTTAAGAAACTGATTGAAGAAGCAGATGATTTGTTATCACAGCTTCGAAGGCTGAAGAGATTTGCTCACGAGGTTCTGAAAATGCAACAGCCAACTATATCTGAAATCCACAACTATAAACACCCAAAACCTATGGCTTATGATGTCATGAAAGCTACATACATCCTTCTAGGGGAGGAGGAAAGGCGTGTTGAGGTGAGTACAGTTGGCATTTATTCATAAATTTTCTTAAAACCAGATCTTACTCATGTAGATGTGTAAGTTTATCTTAAGTAATACGTGTATTCTTTATTAGGAATGGGAACAGATACAGGCGTTGATGCGCAAGACGGGAAAAGAAGGGCTGCTAAGGCGCGTGCGTCTGTTTGACACTGTCCACTTGACCGAGAACATGATAAATCACTCCTCTCAGATACTCCGACCATACGACGAAGAGAGGATACGAGCTTCCAGTGCGGGCCTCGGAACATTTTACAAATGGGTAACAATGACTCTGTATCTCTATTTACTCTATTCTTTAAGTGTTTATCGATTTCAAATGATCTCTTTTACCTATTTTGGTAATGAAAAAAAAAAATACATGAACTTTATAATTTTACAATTATTTCAGGCGACGGATGTAATTGAAGAAATAAGAAAATCAGAAAATTCTTCGAGAGATCGAGAAGTCCAGGAAAATGTAACCAAAAGAAAAATATAGACTTTTGCACATTAAAGTTATTTATACCGTCTCTGCATCACAGTATGCTAACAAGTGTATAGAATTACTACACAAAACACATGTAGTTTAAACTTGGAATGCATTAAAAAACCATTTACCATATTCTTATGGATAAAATGAAAATTTAGCAGCTAACGGTATACTGACAAAGACGAGAAATAGCGTAGATTTAGATAAGTGAAAGCTTGACATAATGTTATTGCCAGGAACAATGTAAAATAAGTAAGGCTGATAACACATACACGGGTTATCCTTCTTTGTGAACACGAGAATTGTAATCGTGACCTAAAAACAAATTTACAATTTTTAAAATGTATTTAAAATAGCAATTTTCATTAAATACTAGAACATAGTTATGCTTAAACGCAACAATAAATACGTGTCAAAATTAAACATCAACAAACTTTCAAACTGATGTGAAGAATTGATTTTGTACAATGATATAATAAAGACAGCAAACTGATCTGGTAGGAGAGATTAAACTAAACCATCTATTGATCAAGGTTTCGTCTTTTCATTTGTATGACAAGCTTTTTAATAAACTTTAATAAATTCTTTGAGTTATTTCAATGCTTAAGACATAGTTTTTTTTTCTTTTCTTCTTTTTTTAATCTTTGAGTATGCGTTATTCCGTTTAACGTGAGGTATACGTAGTGCTCACGACGGTTGTGACAAGTTTACAGGAAATGCTAACTCCTATGCATCTGATTCTACCTGTTTGTTTTCAGGGTTCCATGTTTTTACCTTGTATATTAATAGTTTCACATTTCATATAGTTTACAAGATTTATGTGACCTATATATTTATATTTATATGATATATATTACAATACTCTTAAATTCATGGGTTTTCCATGCTTTAAGGATCCGTTTTTCCTCTAATGTCAATTTTTAATGGTTAATTGACACATAATTACTGAGAGTTTTCTTCACATTTCATCAACTCATTTGGGAAAATGAAGAATGTCGATCCTACTCGCTATAGAATATAACACAGTGGTAAATAAAGCGAAGGTGAGTGAGAAAATCGTCTAAGAAGCATTACAGGACGGTGAGACCCGGAAAGCCTGTAACATCGTCTTTAATCATAATTTAAATATGCCTTTGTTAATGTGTTGATGTTATCCACTCAGTACATAATCAACAGATCTGAAGTTTAAATTCAATCAATGTGTATTGGAGAGGAAAAAATTAAAAGATAGGCAGACAGGATACCTCCGGAATGCACATTAAATACTAGTCCTTAATCATTCATTCAATGATAATCCTTATTCTTATCCAATTCAAACAAACATTACGATACTGGATAGCTAGGAAACCGATACTTCTCCCTCAATTTACATCACATTCAAGGTAAGAAACGTTCATTTAAAAAATCTAGATACTGGGTATTTTTTTTTAAAACTGTAAGCAGATTTCTGCATATCTATATGGAACCCCCTTTCTGGATATTGAGACCAATTATATTTCAAATAAACAATTTTCAAGTTCTCCATGACAAGATAAAGAGTTATTTCGATCAGTTTAAGACAAGTAAAACGTTACTACCCGTTTAGTTTTGAAAACGTTATTTCAGAAAACGGTACTCTCCGGTCAGTTTTGAAGGCGTTACTCCCCGTTCATTTTTTGGTCCTTGAAAGCAATTCTTCAATGAAGATTTACTTACATTAAGGGCATAACCACATGGGTTCCGGGGGATCAAAATCAACAAAAACCAACGATGACCGAGACCATCATCCTGAGGTCAAACGAGAGGTGAGTCCTGAGGAGTCCAAAGAAGAGGAGGTGGAAGAGGACCTAAGCGACGAGGAGGAGGATTATTTAAGAGAACCAGTAAATATCTCGGTAATGTTCCTTATCAACTTGTATATGTGTTTGCAAAAAAAGTATTGCAATTCATATCTATCTTTATCAATAAAAGAATAACTGTTATGGTCTTAGAAAAAATTGTCAATGTTTCTGTGATATTTAATATATGTTTTAAAAATATATGATTTTTGAATGCATGAGAGCTGTCGAAATACAAAAAAAGCATATTGATTGTAAAGGAAATGACCAAGAGTACACGAACTATGTTTACCATTGCTAATAATTTAACGAAAGGAATGATGCCAAATGTCCAGATTATTCAAAAGTTTCTCGAACTTTTCTCTAAACCTTACACACAAAAGGAAGTATAAAACATTTTGTACACTTACAGAAACGTATTAATTGATTAATAATGTTCTCATGTTTTCCCACCACTTTGTGTCGCTCCATCTCCGGATCTCTACGTCTTCTAGGATGCTTTAGAGGACATTGTAGCTGGGTACCCTCCACCGAAGCCGAGTCTCAAGAAGAAGAAAAATATTTTTACAGAACAAGATAAAAATTCTGCAGATGCTAGAGCCAAACAGGTAATACTGTACTTTAGCTGAATAAAACACCAATGGAAAGAAGAAGTTTAAAATAGATGTCACTATATGATGTTAATTTACTTAAAAAAGTATTCTTCTCCGTTATTTTTATTAGACATTAATGTATCACTGAAAAGTACATTGCTATTTACTAGTACACGTATTTGAATTCGTTAATGGGTGTTTATTTTCAAGGAGGTATATATCACAGTTCATTTTTTAGATTAAAGTTGAAGATTATCAGACCATGGACGATTTAGCACATGCTCTGACAGACGGATTAACAAATGACGTGCAAAGGGTCCGCGCAGTCTTCACCTGGATTGGTTTACAGGGGGCAAGCAAAATTAAATCTAAAATAGACAACAGAAACCAAGATGTCATTTCACCCCACATCATTGTACAACAAGTTGCACAAAGAAAGCTCTCGTACAATTTCTTATTCATGAGCCTCTGTAGGTGAGTTGAATTAGGTAACACAATTTATAATAGAAATCTTAGGATATACACTAGAATGGTATAAGTAAGTCTAAACATTTGATTTTATAATATTTAATGTCCAAGGGCAGCTAAGATTCCATGTGTACGAATACGTGGATTGGGGAAGAGTGTGTCCTACGAAGTAGGTGACAAAAATGTTGACAATCTGAACAACTCATGGACAGCAGTATTTGTAGCTGGAGGGTGGCACTTTGTGTTTCCGCTTTGGGCTTTCTCAGCAGTGGTTGGTCACTCTAAGGGTACTTGGACTCTAGTGGAATCCCAAGGTATGAAATTTAATTGAAGTTGAACTTACAAAAGTAATCATGTGTACATTATACTGCATTGACTGTTGGTCAAATGTAACATCAATTATTACACTGATACTTTAACTATATATAGGTATCGTTTCAGAAAGAGTAAGTGAAAGGTGCATTAATAAACTGACAATGTATAAATTAAATGATTTAGGTGAAGGTGCCAGGGAGAAAGAAGAAAAATCATCAGGTCAAACAATTAGCCAAATTAATGACTATTACTTCCTGACACATGCAGAAGATTTTATTTATAATTGTTATCCTTTGGACAAAAAATGGCAGCTTCTTGCAAAACCATTCACCAAACAGGACTTCATAGATATCGCATATTGTACACAAGACTATTTCGAGGATCAGCATAAAATTACGACACCGGCAAAATGTGTATATACGTCAGTTCGCGGAGTATGCGAAATTGGGATAAAGAAGTTAGACAAGGAAGAAAGTTCTTACGTATACAAGCTGTATTTCAACCATGAGGAATCAGGCACAACTCTTTCTTCTGAAATACAGCTAGAGAGATACGTAGCTATATTCAATGAAGGACACTCAATGCGATTTCGTGTTCGGTTTCCCAGTGAAGGTATATATAAGATGGAAATCTTTGGTGACTACTTGCTTCTTTGTGCATTCAAACTTGAATGTAACGAGGATGTTAACTATGTTAAACCATTTCCTTGTAATCCAGAGTCTGGGTTTGGTCCAAACTCCCAAACGGAGGAGGCGGGGCTCAAAGCACAATCTCACAAAACGGGTTTCATCAATATCAAACAGACAAAGAATTTCAATATGACATTTAATGTTACTAAGAATGTGCTAGTCCAAACAATCTTGATACACGATAATGTGGAACAAGAGACGCTGACGAAACACGTCAACCATAAGATAAAAGGCCAGGAGCTGGATATCAATGTGAATTTGCCTCAGAAAGGAGAATATGCTCTCCAGATTAACACAAAAGACAAAGATTCCGGTGGTTCATTTGTGAATGCCTGCAACTACCTTTTAACCTCAGAAAACATTAACAAAAGCGGAAGCCCTACGAGGTAGTAGGGTTTGCATATAAATTTCTCAATTGATACTGAAGAATGCCTTTTATTTCTTACTGTCCTTATTTTTTACAGAATGCAATAGAAAAAAGAGCCAGGAAGGCATTACAAGAGAAAGCTCATTCCAATGATATAGAGACTCTGCAAAAGGTCCTTGATGACTTCGATAAGGTTGATCTGGAAGATAAAGGTGATCGCCATAAAGTAGAAGAAAGACTGACGTACCTAAACCTGCGTAAAGGTAGCAATCACACTGCATTTTATTGATTATTGATAGATTGTAAGTTATTTTACATCCCATTTTAGAATATATCACTTAAATAGTCACCATATACCGATTTCAAATTAAGACCCATACTAGATACTTAGGGCTGTTTAGCTGTAAAGGTTCTTTATCGTGCCAACGCCTACCGTGACACGGAACCTCCGTTTTTAAGGTTTCATCCACAAGATGAATTTCATTTCTAGTGCCAGGCGCTTGGCACTGCCAGTCACTGCCTATGTTTACGTCTTAGGTTGGACGCGGCGCCGGAAAGGGAATCAGTACTTCCCTATCACGAAGCAAGCACCATACCACAAGACTACTGCAGGCAATTTCTCTGATGCGGGCAAGATAAAGATAAAGATTCAACTAATTAATTTAAAAAAAAAATACAAAGAGAAACGCAAAGGTTGCATGTTATCAAATGTGATATGTTTTCTTTTAAAAAAAGCAAACTGAAGATTTCAAGTTTTTATTTTCAAAGTACAGAAATAAATATCACCAGGTTAAAGCAAGGATACGCTTTCCAGTCATTTGAATTTTACAAAAATACCTGTATATTTATCATCTGTTGGGTACTTTTTTTTTACATTGTCTTGTAGTATAAGGGATGATATCTGTTAGGTTTTTTCACACCAAACTCTGTTTCGATTCACCTGATATGAAATTTTATTACTATGTATCATCTTGAACCCAGTCAACACCATCCTCTGTACATTCTAATTTAAAGTACTAGACAGATTGTTGGAAAGCTGTTGTTAGTAATAAAAAAATAAATCAATCTAAATTTACAAAAAAGGAAAATAAATGAAAATCTGGATGGAAAACAGGTATACATTTATGTATATTTTTGTCTCATCAGAATTAATAGATGCCATTGCAAGAAGGCATGGTGAGAAACTAAAAGAAGCAATAGAAAATGCGAAATCATCCGAATACGAAGCCAATCTTAAGTTTCTGATTGAGGAAGCGGAGGATTTGTTAGGGCAGTTGCAACGGCTGAAAGGATTTGCTCACGACATTCTAAAAATGCAGCAGACAACTATTTCAGAGATCCACAACTACAAACGCCCAAAACCAATGGCTTATGACGTCATGAAGGCTACATACATCCTTCTAGGGGAAGAGGAAAGGCATGTTCAGGTGGATGACAAAAATGAATTTCTTGAAATAAAATATTATTCGAATTGAATTATTAGTATTTTATGAAATATTTCTTGTTAGGAATGGGAGCAGATACAAACATTGATGCGTAGGACAGGAAAAGAAGGGTTGTTAAGGCGCATACGTCAGTTCGACATTGTCCACGTGACTGAAAATATGATAAATCACTCCTCTCAAATACTACGACCATACGACGAAGAGAGAATACGAGTTTCCAGTGCGGGTCTCGCTACATTTTACAAATGGGTAACTAGGATTTGCTTATCATTCTTGTAAAGATAAATAGATTTTTTTAGATGGTCGTGAATTAAATGATCATTGACGTGTAGAAAACATTGTTAACGTTTGTAAAAGAATCATTTAATTGGTATTTTTATTATTTTAAAGATTGCTTCCAATATCTTCTTTCTACACTAATTTGAATTCAGTTTAAATCAGAAAACTCACTTTCAAAATGGTAGTTTAGGGAAATAACTCATTGTGAAAATATATCATACGAAAATAATAGTGGAAACTTTGACAATGTAGAAACGTTGTCGAAATTGACGAATTTCTAATAATCGTCAAAGTTTCCACTTGCCAATTTTCACAATACTATTAAAGATCACTGTTAAATACTAGTAGATCGCTAAACTTCCCACTCGTCATTGTTCTAAAACATTGAAAATATCAAACCTATAGCCCTTCAATATGACCATTTGTACAGTAAATTGTTTTTTTTTTCAAAAAGAACCTAAGGATTTGCTTTTACTCACATTATATTTACATTAATTTCAATTTCAGGCGATGAATATAATTGAAGAAATGACAAAATAAAAGGATTATCCGAGAGACCAACAAGATTAGGAAAATATATTCCAAGAACAAAAAAAAGTCATCACTAGAAGCGCCAAGTTTGAAATGTGAAGGATATCAACACAAAACATAATTATGCACATCGAGCTATGAATCCATTAAAATAAATTTATTTACTCTTTAATACAGACCAGTTAACATGCAGGGTCCAATTAACGTTTAAAGAAAAAAACAAGATGTGATTTAGATAAAGATAAGAGAAAGCCTGGCTAAAGATCTAGATTTTTGTCAAATACAATAATAAATTAGTTCATAAGAAAGCCTGAGACACAAATAACAAATCTGAACACAGTCATTTTAATTATGATGTTTAATACAAACTGATTTACTTATCTATCAATCAAAAGTTTTGAAATTGCATCGAACCTGGATTTTTTTTTTTTTAATAAAAACCGATTCTAAGATGGCACATGGGTATAATATTCATGGATCGCTTTAAACCAATATCAGATTTGTCCGTAGATATCTGTATATAATTTATTGAACGGCTTGCTTTTCAATGGTGGGGTTTCGAATTATGCATATTAGCTACAGTGTAGACCACATCTTGGTTGGGTAAATTCCTTTAAACGCTCACCACAAAAATGCAGATGGTTATTGGTAGCATGTTATATTTCATAGCCAAAAATTCAAAGAATTTGCATTTTAAAAAAATACATTTAAGGTATTTTAATTTTCTATATACTGGAATTGTTATATAATGCATCGTGTAAAAACTTGTACTATCATTGCAAGGCATTATAGATCACTTCTGATTTCAAACCACGGGAACAGATGGAGTGGTGTCAGACTTCGGAAATTAGGGCACATCAAAAATCGTTTTCATTGAAAAAAAAATCAAATATTGACACCGATTTTTCTCATTAAAAATCCCAGTTTTGAAATCATATTCTGAAATTGTAACGACATAATGAAGATGTTTGCAAAAGTGAGCATCGGACGAGGATACATGATTCCCGGAATAGATTTTCAATGTAAGCTTTGTCGATTTATTTATACAAACCAGAAAGAACTTCAGATGAAGGCACGGAAATGGGACAAACTCAATCATCAGGTGTAAAGATGAAGAATTTTAAAGGTGATTTATTTCTCAGATTATATAAGTATTGAAGTCTGGGCGTCGTGCAGAATTTCAATAATTCTAACACATGCATATGAGCTAAATAAAGAGGAATGTATTTTCTGCATATATTGTGTAAATAAATGTTTGTTTTCAATGCATTTGTTTCTTTTATTGGTATTTAAATTTTATTTAAATCCAAACTTTATATTCTAAAAATTGAAAGATATTTCTCAATTCAGAGAAAATCCCTGACATCCATATTACTTCAACAATTATTACCACCTCAAAGATGGAACAAGGGACTGTATCATGAACACATTAATGTGTGTTTTGAATATGAAATATGAGATTAGGAAAAAATAAATTTACTCGGTTATAAATCGCAGAATATTAATACGTTTAGGTACTTCCTTATTTTTCGTGTTCAGAGCAGGACCTAACTCTTTGTCGCCATTTATGAAATAAAAATATAAAGTTTCTCTTTCATCAGTCCACTACGTGGACTTTTGTATTTCATGGTTTTATTTTGTAATCATTAACAGAGTATACGTATTTGTGAAGGTATGAATTAATAGTTCTTTGAAATATATGGAGATAACGAACAGTATTCAAGCTCAAAAGTCCATTATACAATACAAAATAGGAGCAGAGCAAACACGGACCTCCAAACATCAGAGGTGGGATCAGGTGCCATGGAGGAGTGAGCATCCCCTGCCGACCGGTCACACTCGCCGTGTGCTCCTTGTCATGATCGGGAAATAACTGAAAAATCCGTCGACAATTCAGTGTGTAAATAATGGCCTAACAATTAGTATGAAAAACGTCAGTCAGCATTTGACTCAATGATAAATTGTATTTGCTGACAAGGTCATTGTATCGACCATAGAACTTACGAAATGATGACTTTAGACGAGACAGTTGATATTCTTGTTTCATCAACTTATTTGTCAATAATTTACCTCGTTTTAGAAATTGTACATACGTAGAGCATACTCTTGCGTATCGAATCAACTGAGAGATATATACCCCGTATGCAGGTGATGAAGGTATATTGCTGCATAAGTAAGGGAAGTTGACGATTGAAAAGTTAAAGTCATCACGTTTATCATAAAGCTTGGTTGTTAGATTACCATTAACGTCTTTTTCAAGTAAAATATCCAAATATGAAACAGATGTGTCGGACTCTGTGGTATCTTTTATCTCAAGTTCACCAGGATATATCGTATCGACATAAGAATGAAAATAGCCATTGTTAATTGACAATACGTCGTCGATATATCTAAATGTCGAGTTGAACGCCGCAGCAAGTGATTTCTTCTTTTCACGTACAAGTTTTTGGACAAATTCTGCTTCATATGAATACAAAAAAAGGTCTGCTAATAACGGGGCGCAATTGGTACCCATTCCAATAGATTGTTGGAAGACCTGGTCTCCAAAAACCACATAGATATTGTCAATCAGAAACTCAAGCATCTTTTTAATGTCACCTTCAGAGTACTTGTGTGTACAATCAGAATGTCAGAATCTTTTTGATCAATTATTTTAGAAAATCGATAAATCACGTAACATCAGAACTAAATTTTTTCATATTTCTGAACATATTTGGTTGATTGAGTCACTATTTGGGGGGGGGGGGGGGATATAAAATAAGATACACATGTATATGCAGAAAATTACAGTAAGAATATAATTATGGTAACAAGAGTTCTACTGGATCTCTCAAATTCAAATTTTAGTCGAGTCATTTTAAATGCAGTCAAACCTCGTTATCTCGAACTCGATGGGACCAAGAAAAAAACTTCGAGATATCCAAAGATTCGAGATATCGAGGGTAAAATACATAAAGAATAATTGGTTGGGGCCTCCAAATCGCTTCGACATATCAATGGTATTCGAGATATCAGTGTTCGAGTATCGAAGTTCAAAGATAACGAGGTTTGACTGTACATATTGCAGCATTGACCAAACATAAAAATCATGGCTCGATGTCCAAAGATGTCAGCAATCCCAAATTAAGACCTTTTGGAAAAATGGACGTGAGGCGTTCAAAAAAATTTTTTTTTTCAATTTATCATATGCAATGGCGAACTTTTTAATTGTAAAACTGTGAAAAATAAAGCAATAAAGATTATGCATTCTAGATATTTTTAAAACAACTTACTCATTTCCTTTTATATCAGGAATCTTCACTCTAAAAGGCATCTAACTTTGTCCTTTCAATCTCGTAATAATGCTGGATATCCATGCTCTAGAAATACTTATTATTTGATTGTTTTAATACATAAATATTAGGGATGGCAATCGAATACAGAATCGCTAATCGGTTAACCGCAAGACGTTCCGACCGATTAGTCGGTTAATCGTATCAAAATATACATTTTTGTACATTTTCTCCCAAGTAGCTAGTAAGAAGACTTAAGAACGTTAGAAGTTAGAAACATTCTGTTTATCTTACCAGTAAACTGCATGTACATATATTTTATTTCAATTTCAAAAGACAAGAAAAAATTAAGAAAAACATGAAACATGCATGCTTGTAAAATCAGACATTGATAATTTTTCAGAGAAGATGTCAAACAACTTCATTTTGCATTGTCACCATAATCAAAACTATGTCTGAACTTCCACTTATTTTACAATGTTTGTCTAATAATATTATTTAAAAGATTACGACAACAGACAGCCATACTAATACACAGTGCTCAACGGTAATTTATTCAATATCATTAAAGAATTACAGGACATCGGGATACCGACATGGTGTTCACACTTCACAAACTAACCAATTACCCCGAGATCGTAATCCGAAGAGCCATTATTACTACCAAATTACTACCAAAACGCTAAATTATCAAGGTTTATGCTTAGGTTTCTTTTATAAAAATGAATTGAGTTTAAATTTACATATAATTTTTTTTTCCGAGTAAGCGATTTACAAATTTTCTAACCGATTACCATCGCTCCGACCTAATAATCGGTTAACCGTATACAAATTGCAATCCCTAATAAATATATACATGTATTTCCAATAACTCTTACCCCTAAGGCAGGAAAGAAAGAATGTGAAAAAAGGATACAAGAGGAAATGAAAATACATGCCACTAGGAATAAACAAGAAACTACAAAAATAATCTTTATTTTTATTTAGATTCATCTTTGTGTCCGCTAGGCGGCGTTTTGTGTTACCACTTTGGTCGTTTTTAGCAATCGTCAGTCACAGTTCAGGAACATGGGCACTCATCGTAAAAATGATATAATTATTTATATACACATTGTCACATAGCGTAAATCTAATGCAATTTTAATAATGGAAATATCCAACTTTTTAATATAGATACTTGTAAAAAAAAAAAAAACAAACAAACAAACAAAAAAAACAAGAAAACATCAGGAACCACTGTTAGCGATTTCAACGACTTTAAGTTCCTCACTGAGTCAAAGGAGATCATTTCCCCCCAAGAAATTCCGTGGTTTTTGTTTATTTGTTTGATTTTGTGTTTTGTTTTGTTTTGTGTTGTTTGTTTGTTTTTTACTTGAGTGTAACAAAAATGTCAGTTACGTGAAGCCATATCAAAGTTATTTTGAAATAGGATTTGGTTCTTTTCCATTAATTTCTGAACCCTAAGACTACATTTGGATATCATATTTTACATGCATGTATACAGAAAGAAAACCTTCAAAAGATCTTCTCCAGCAAAACCAAGATAAGACTAAACTATACCAGAATTATACAAAGTTGGCCTCATAATTATATCTTTAATCATATTTTAGATATGTTTTTTGGTTATGTTTTGATATTTAGGACTTATACAAATACAAATATATATTTTAAATTCAATAAGTGTGTACTGAAGGGGAAAAAGGAAGATATTTGCAGACTGAATACTTTGGCAAAACACTTAAATACTAGTCGTTGGTCATGAATAGTTATTGAATATTGGTCTTTGGTCTTGTTGATTACTATCCGAGTTGTGTATTTCAAACATACTTTAAGTCATTGGATAGTTATATCTCAATTTCTCTTGTAAGACATATTACAGCCTTTGTAAAGAAAAGTTATATCATGGAATTAAGATATCTGGAATTGGAAGGGTTTTTTTTTTTGAAAATTGTAACTAATGATATTTTAATATTGGGTTCTATTAAAACATAGTTTCCATGTGTCTTAATAGAATTCCAAGATTAAAAGATATTCTTCTTAATGTAAACAATAACTTTCTATGACATCGGTGTAGACAGAATGACAAGTAAACAGATTTTTCTTTTCATTTCCAAAAATTCAGTCCAGGGTATAATCATTTTTTCCATCAAGGATTTAAACAAATGGGTAGCGGGGGATCAAAATCAAGAAAAGCCGACGATGAGCAACTAGGGATCAAAGAAAAAGAGATCACCGAGGAGCCAAAAGATGAGAAAGACAACGAAAAAACAAATGAAAAAGAGGATTATTTAAGAGAACCAGAAAATGACACGGTAATTTTTTTTTCTTAATAGTAATTTATACATGTGTGGGCGAACATATCATAATTTTAACTTTCTGTCAAAATAAGTATTTGACTAAGTTAGGCCAAATTGTTGATATTTGGGTAATATTTTTTGGGTTTGTGCATTATGATTTAACCTCTCTGTCCAAATAATAATTGGATTTACCCAAATTATCAGTTTTAGTAATATTTTGAATTGCGTTCATTTTTTCAGTTACGTTTACTAGTCCTACACCTTTTTAACACGAGATATTGCATAGAATAAGCAGAATCATCGAAAGCTTCATGACTAATTTTTTTTTTTTGGTCTTAAACTTCTGTGTACTAGTTACTGAATTCTAAAACCAAACTCTATCAAAAACATTTTTCTTCTGTATCAAAAGTGGGGAAATATTTTGCGCCTAAAGAGAAAAACATAATTGGTATATACTAATCTTGCCATGCTCTTTTTTTCTTTACGTCTAATAGGTAGATTTAGAAGACACACTAGAGGGATACCCTCCACCAAAGCCAAACTTCAAGAGAAAGGAGCAAATTTTTACAGAACACGATAAAACTGCAGCAGATGCTAAGGCCGAACAAGTAACACTTCATAATTTCAATAATCTGCACAAAATGTTTGAGTATAAATACATATGTCACCATGTCATGTTTAATAAGTAATGTAATATCTGAAGTAGGAAGTTTAATTTAGACTCAGGCTTATAGACTACTATTGTTTTGAAATCTTTTCAATGAAAAGAACAAATAAATATAAATAAAAAAGGTTTAAAAGTTCAGCCGCACAAATTCCATTTTTCATTCAATTTTTTTTAATATTGTCTTATTATAAGGGTGATGACCAAAAAAGAAAAAAAATGAACATCTGTTTTTCTTTTCTTAATATTCTAAAGCTATTATTTATGGATCACCAAAAACCAAACTAAGTCCAAAAACATATACTAAATCCCTGCATTCGATTTTCAATCGTCGCATGTTTTATTATGTAAAGTATCAGTTAATAGATTCATTAAACATAATGATGATTCTTGCAGAAAATAACTACAGTATTTAATGAGCAATTTGCAGTTTTTGAGGAAGGAAGACTTGTCTCAGGAAAATTGTATTCTCACCTTTCTTGTGATTTTGAAAATAAATAACGCTTAATTTATTAAATGAAAGTACTATTAACTCATTTGAAAATAAGTATACTTTGAAAAATGAAATTTTAAAATAATATATCAAAGAAAGGATATTTTTTCCTGGGCACTTAAAAAAGAACTGATCACCAAAGACAAATAGAATAGAAGGATTCAAATAAAAGTCTTAAACTTCCTGGTCCCCTATGGTTTACATAATAACAGAAGAAGTCCTGTATCGACTGGTATCAGTGACGAGTGGGGCATTATTTGTATATTGAAATATATCACGTCTATTATGTTTAGATTGAAGTTGAAGATTATCAGTCCTTGGATGACTTGGCGCATGCTCTGACGGACGGATTAACAAATGACGTGCAAAAAGTGCGCGCGATCTTCACTTGGATTGGTTTACAAGGGTCAATGGAAAATACATCTGAAGAGGACGGCAATGAAAACCAAGTTGTTACCTCGCCAAAAGCCATTGTACTACAAGTTACACAAAGAGAACTCTCGTACAATTACTTATTCATAAGCCTTTGTAGGTAAGTTTTGAGGAATCATAGGAATGTTTCCTACATCTGTAAATGCCTGAATCGTACCTGTAAACAATATACGTAAGATGTAGAATATTTGGTTATATAACTTTCTAATCTCCAAGGGCTGTCAAAATCCCATGTGTACTAATACGGGGAGTGGGGAAGAGTGTGTCTTACGAGGTAGGGGACAAAAATGTTGACAATCTGAAAAACTCATGGACAGCAGTGTATGTGTCTGGAGGGTGGCACTTTGTGTTTCCACTTTGGGCTTTCTCAGCAGTGGTTGGACATTCAAAGGGTACATGGACTCTAGTAGAAACTGAAGGTATAAAACTTAATGGTAAATAATTGAAACAGGATGATATGTGCATTAAACTGAATATTTTAGATAATCTTTTAAGAACATTTGCTATGTCACATTTTAGTATATACATGTAAAGATTGCTTCAAGAATAATTTATAAAATATGCAATTTAAAAACAAACAATCGGGGTTCTATTGATCGAATAATCAATATAGGAAAAGGTGTTAGAGAAAAAGAAGAAAGATCATCAGGACAAACAATTCTCTACATAAACGACTATTACTTCCTTACGGAGGCAGAAGAGTTTATCTACAATTGCTATCCCGAGGACTCAAAATGGCAGCTTCTCACGCGGCCGTTTACCAAACAGGAATTCATAGAAATAGCATGCTGTACACAAGGCTTTTTTGAGAATAACTACAAAATTACAACACCAAATAAATGTCTTTATAGATCAGTTCGCGGTGTATGTGAAATTGGAATAAAAAAGTTAGACAAGGAAGAAAGCTTTTACGCATACAACTTGTATTTTAATCATGAGGAATCAGACAAAACTCTTTCTACTGAAATACAGCTAGAGAGATACGTAGCCTTATTTAATGAAGGGTCCTCAATTAGATTTCGTGTGCGGTTTCCCAGTGAAGGCGTATATAAATTGGAGATCTTTGGTGATGGTTCTCGTCTTTGTGAATTCAGACTTGAGTGTAACGAGGATGTAAACTATGTAAAGCCATTTCCTTATAATCCAGAGTCTGGGTTTGGTCCTAATTCTCTAACAGAAGATGCGGGCCTCCGAGCGCTGTCTCACAAGACCGGTTTTATCGATATCAAACAGACAATGAATTTCAACGTTATATTTAATATAACAAAGAAAGTGTTAGTTCAAACAATCTTGATACACGATAATATGGAACAAGAGACTAAACACGTGACCCATAAGATAAAAGGTCAGGAGCTGGATATTAGTGTTAATTTGCCTCAGAAGGGAGAATATGCACTTCAGATTAACGCAAAAGACAAAAATTCCGGTGGTTCATTCAAGAATGCCTGCAACTACCTTTTGACCTCGGAAAATATCAACAAAAAGCGGAAGCCCTATGAGGTAGGTAAAACTGCGATCATTTTTGATAGATTTTTGATGACTGAGCTTTAATTTTTCTGGACCTTGTTTTTTTCTTCGCCAGAATCCAATAGAAAAAAGAATCAGGAAGGCATTACAAGACGTCACCAGTTCCAATAATCTAGAGGCTCTCCAAAAGGCTCTTGATGACTTCGATAAGATTGATCTAGAAGATAAAGGGGATCGTCAAAGAGCAGAAGAAAGATTAGCGTACCTGATTCTGCGAAAAGGTATCACATACATTGCTTTACTAATTTCTGTTCACTGCAGGATGGTTTTATAGAGATTTAAAGAATGTATTTAATAGTTTTCGTATAAATAAAAATACAACAACCAATTTTCATTTTAAAAATATTGTAAAAGTAAAAGCATTTATATCCATATTGATATTTTTTGTATCATCAGAACTGAAAAATGCAATTGCAAGAAGGAATGGTGAGAAACTAGAAGAAGCAATAGAAAATGCGAAATCGTCTGAGTACGAGTCCGATCTTGAGAATCTTATTGAGGAAGCAGAGGATTTGTTATCACAGTTGCAAAAACTAAAGGTATTTGCTCACGATATTCTGCAAATGAAGCAAACGACAGTCTCCGAAATCCAGACTTATAAACACCCAAAACCTTTAGCTTATGACGTCATGAAAGCCACATACATCCTTTTAGGGGAAGATGAGAGGCAGCTTGAGGTATGAGCAATAAGCCTGACAATTTACAATTAAATTTCTTCACCTTACATAGTACTGGAATAGATTCTTTAAAATGTTTATGAGTAAAATTGTGTGATAGGAATGGGAACAAATACAAGCATTGATGCGAAAGACGGGAAAAGAAGGGCTGTTAAGACGCGTGCGTCAGTTCAACACTACCCAGGTGACCAAAACCATGATGCAACAATCTTCTCAAATACTTCGACTTTACGACGAAGAGACAATTCGAGATTCTAGTGCGGGTCTCGGTACATTTTACAAATGGGTAACTAAGTCGCTTCTTGCAATAATTATCTGCCTTAAAAAATGTATCATGCTTGCTTTGGCTATATATTTATTAATAATTATTCATATTTCATGGTTTTTTCATCACAATTTCAGGCGTCGAATGTTATTGAGGAAATGACGACATCAAAGGATTCTTCGGGAGACTGAAAGACTTAAGAAAAAATACACAATATGCTCAAAAGATAAACTTTTGCAAAACCATTTAACTACACTGATTAAATCTATTAGGGGTTTATAAAAATTATATTAACAAATAGACATGATAATGAATATCTAGGAATATATTAAACGCATATTTACTTCCATGATAAAGATCGAATAAAAATGCAGGGGCAAAAGATTTACTTATCAAGACAAAACATAGCATAGATTTAGAGAGAGTTGGAGTCTTTGTTCACGTTTGTTGTGAGACTGTATCTAAAGATAATTCAATAAAATGTGTTTCATGTAAGAAGCGAGTGACAAAGACACATTAATCCAATTTATGATCGGTATTGGTAGAGGTTATGTTAGAAATTGCACACAGGGAAAGGATTAAATAGAATTCTTTACTGATAACGTTTATAAATTTAGCAATAAAAAGTTTTAAAACTTATATTAAACCATATTGTTATTTATTTTTCTTTTTTATCATATAATATTAATTTAATTCCGCATTTTTGAAGTATAACGTGGAACAGGGTCTTTCAGATATATAAGCAATTCCTTGTGAAATTCAAGATATCAATTAAAGAAGAAAAATAAAGTAAAAATTTGGCAGGAACAGAAAGTTTTGCTTGAATATAAAAAGCTGTCAATGAAATTTATCATGCTCTCAGCATGCTCTTCAGTATCGAAACCAAACATTACTGGATATCTACGCTCTAGAAATACTTATTATTTGATTATTTCAAATAACGTTTTAGCTCACATATGAGCTGAAAGCTCAAATGAGCTATTCTGATCACCCTTTGTTCGTCGTCCGTCCGTCCGTGTGTAAACTTTTCTCATTCTCAAATTCTTCTCAATAGCAACAGGGTGAATTTTAAACAGAGTTGGTACAAAGCATCATTGGGTAAAGCGGGGTTTAAATTGTTAAACTGAAGGACCAAGCCTCATTCCAAGAGGAGATAATCAAGAAAAGATAAAATAGAGCGGGGTAATTAAAAACTCTTCTCAAGAACCACTGGGTCAGAAAATGTGAAACTTATGTGAAAGCCTGTTGACGAAGTGTAGACTCTAAATTGTTCAAATCATGGCCCTCAGTGGTAAGATGGGGTCAAAATAGGGAATCAAAGTTTTACATTGAAATATGTAGAAAATCTTTAAAAATCTTCTCGTGAACCGCAGGGCAAGAAAAGCTGAAACTTATAAGGAAGCTTCCTTGGGTAGTATGGATTCCAAACTGTTCAAATCATGACCCCTGGGGGTAGGGTGGGTCCAGGATAGCGAATCAAATTTTTACATTGAAATATATAGGAAAAATCTTTCAAAATCTTCTCAAGAAGAACTGGGCTAGAGAAGGTGAAACTTAGGCAGTGTAGATTCTAAATTGTTCAAATTATGAACCCCGTAGGTAGGTGGGACAACAATAAGTATTACATGTACAAGTAGGAAAATCTGATAAAGAACAGCAGGGCCAAAGTTACTCAGGTTAGCGTTGTGGCCCATGCGTCTCTTGTTTAAAAAGAGTCACAACTCTTACCATAAAGAAGGACGTTTAACATTCTAAAATAAGAAGATATGCTCTACAGATCAACATAAAATGAAAAGGGACATTAGAACCTTCCAATAACAATTACCTATATTGGCATAGGAGGACATGAATAAAAGAAAAGATCACACGAGATAAAAATAATTACTTTTAGCATTGGCAATATTGAAACTTGCAATATTGTCTTTTAATCAATACCTTGAACAATTTAAAGTTTGAAGTAAGTTTCTGAAATTGTTAAAATTTTCTGAAAATTTTAACTCATCTGAGACAGAAGCCAAAAAGACTTTCAATTTCGAATTTATCTGTTTTGTATTGTTATCGATTAGATGTATAATTTCACATTTCCAACTTCTTTTTCAGAGCCACTGGACCAATGTCAAATAATTTAATTCTGATTGTAACGTGCCATTTGATTGGATAAAAAAACTACTTTATATCGAATAAACTGTGTTCCCTACGTACATCACAATACGTGCGTCAAAAACGTATCCATCCGCCCGATCAATCATTTAAAAATTTGAAATCATTTTAAAAGGCCAATTGTCTTATTTTTTTCTACTAATAGAATGAAAATTAAATTATAAGGAATGAATTTAAAGGTGCTTGGACACAGATTTGAAGTTAATATTTTCTCAAATTTTCTGTATGTATAATTTCATGACTTATATGTTGCTTTAGCATTTCATACTAAAATATAATAAAAATCTTATTTCATCTCGTAGTTATAGAAACTTCAAATTTCTGAACGCGTTTGATTGACACATCCTTGCACTTTCACAAATTTTAATTTTATTCTTAATACTTAAGAAAAGTGGCAATTTTGTTGTGTATTAATGAAAAAATATTAAAACTATAATCAGAAAACTCAGAGTAGAAATATTCGAAAGCAAAACCCACTCACAGTATTGTCAGTCCGTGCTCAGTGGTGTGTGCAGAATTTAACAATTGAACACACCCGGTGAATCGTAAACATTAACAATAACAGAGCTCGTGTCCTGTTTACAAAAACAGTTTACGTTTCACGGGTGTATTCACTTTGTTAAACTCTGTACACAACACTGAGCACGGGCTGACGATATTAGTGAGGGGGTTTGCTTTCGCACTTTTCTACTCTGAATTTTCTGGATTATAGATGTAATGTTTTTCATTAATACACAACAAAATCACTTCTTTTCTTAAATGTTAAGGATAAAGATAAAATATGTGAAAGTGCAAGGATGTGTTAATCAAACGCGTCCAGGAATTCGTAGTTCCAATAATTTCCAGATAAAAAAAGCATTCTGAGAGTATTGCATTAGCAATACTAGTCCCCTACCGGCAAGTGTAATCTGGTTCCCGTTAAGAATTGAAAATGCCATAATTCCGTCAAAAATTAATGAAGCGGGACGAAATGCAAACTTGATCTATAACTAATCAAGGTAATGCCACATACCAAAAATCAGCTCAATATCTACAAGCGTTTGAAGATAATTGCGGAAAATCCGTAAAAATTGAAAAGGCCGTAATTCCGTCAAAAATCAATGAAGCGAAACGAAATGCAAACTTGATCTGTAACTCATCAAGATACACTCACATACCAAAAATCAGCTCAATATCTGCAAGCGTTTAGGAAAAAAGTGAGGAAAACCAATTGGGACAGACTGACAGACAGGCAGAGGGACAGACAGACGGACAGACAGACAGACAGACGGACGGACAGACTCAGAGGAAACCTATAGTCCCCTCCGGTTTCACCGGTAGGGGACTAATAAGTTTTTAATTATATTTTCGTGTGAAATGCTATTGCAATATATAAGTCGTGATATCATACAGAAAATTTGAGAAAATATTAACTTCAAATCTGTGTCTAAGCACCTTTGATAGCAACCCAATTTATACTGTATAAACAGGGATGGGACAGTGTACGCTTTTCATATTTTTTTTGGGGGGGTGGGTGCTTTTAATATTCATTCAATTATTTAAATGAAAAGACATTCCTGTCTCCCAATAGGAGATAAGAAAATGAAAAAAGTCAAAGGGTCATTTCAATATATGCTTTTGAACTACTGGACCAGAATAAAGGAGATTTATGTGAAGGTTTAATGCCAAACTAGATTCAAGTTTATTTTAATTATAGTACGTGGGGCGTGGGATAAGTGTGGAGCCATAATACAGAAACGTAAAACGGGAATATATAGTAAAAATATCTATAAAAATCTTTTCAAGAGCAGCATGACCAAGTCATCAGAAAGAATCTTCAGGAAGTGCAGATTCAACATTGTTCAAGTCATGGTCCCAAGGGGAACGTTGGGGCCACAATAGAAAATTGACATTTTACATGTGATTATACACGGCATCTATACTACTATATTAAAATAATAGACTCGAATTTTTGGCCTTTAATACCGATAAATCGGAAGAGTACTGTCTTTTGTTTGATATATTTTAAACATCATTGGTACTTGAAGATTACCAATTTGTTTTTATTTTTTCTCAATTAAGCTTCGCTAATTAATAATCAACGAAAATTCCTCAAAAAATTCCAGATATCATCTGGATTTTTTGGATTTTACAATCTTGCGCGTGCGCATTACATTCATGCTAAATCACGGTGTTCAAATAAATCTCCCTTGCAGAGTTGTCGTTCGTTTCTCTCTCATACACGAATGTATGAGCCGTTGGTCGACAGTGTGTTCAAACCAGAGAAGACAAAAGTAAATACTAAGTAGATATATATTTGTTATTGTATAATTTTTCTAATACGAAATCAGTAATATATATGAACAGAATATACAGCAAATTTCCAATGAAAATTTACATGTATTGTCATAGGGGTCGGAACGGGGGGGGGGGCTAGGGGGCTTAGCCCCCCTTTTTTTGCAAAGATAGACACAATATAGGCATTGAAAATTGGGGCTTACCTTTCTTCGTTGGTTAAGCCCCCCCCCCCCAACTTTCAAATAGCCACCCACTTTCAATTTGCTTCTGACGCCTATGTTTGTATTATCGTAATCGTTTCTGAGTTTATATCCATACAAATGTGATATTGTGGCCACGTGGGTAATCATTCGCCATCTCGGAGACACATTTATTATATGTTATTTATATCTCTGACCATCTCAACGGAGGCAAAAAGCTCATGATCGTAGGAGCAACATTAATGTAACTAACCGATTTATTTTATCCCTCCTTTCTTTTATGCTTTTTTGAGGGGAACTGAAGGGGGGGTGTTACAACTCCAGTTAGAATCACATCTTAGTGAAGTAGGCATTCTTTTTCCGCCAAAAATTACAATAATAACTACTATATAAAAATCATAGACTCGAATTTTTGGCCTTTAATACCGATAAATCGGAAGAATACTGTCTTTTGTTTTATATATTTTAAACATCATTGGTACTTGAAGATTACCAATTTGTTTTTATTTTTTCTCAATTAAGCTTCTATTTTTATTACTTTTTCTATGTACTAA